GATCCGTAATGATGACTATGCTCAGAACATAGCTATCTATAAGGACACCGAGTGCAGTGTCGTTTAAATATTTTTCTAATAGCATGTGGAAAAAAGAGTGCGATGCATAGCAATCAGAGATAACATTTAATTTTATTGTTTCAAAACGATTCTTACTTTCGAATATTGGATTCTTTCTCACGCCGTAAACCGCAGCAGCAAGAAAAGGATTTGTGCGCCGGGCAGTAATGGTCACTCCGCCTTTCTTGATTCGTGCCTGATGTTCGTTGTTGGTTCTTCATAGTCCGCAAGCTTCGTATACATAGGATATCTACTACTAAAAGCCAGGTGCTAGGTTAGATGACCGATAATTGATAATAATTAATGCGATAACGATAAAGAGAAGCTGCCGGCAGCTAATCTTAAGCGTAGAGTTACAGCGCAGCCAGAAAATAAGATTGAACCATTCCGAGATCTTCGGGTGCGTCAGTCAAAGAGACAGGGAAAATATCCATCCTCCGACGGACCGTTCGCGTAACGCGTGCTAGGGTTTATATACCGAGTCTTTTTTTTTTTTTCACACTTTATTTTTATTCCTTCTACACATTCATACACGACAACAAACATGTCTACTGCTGGTCAGGTAAGATAAATAAACTTGATATGTATGACTATGAGAATGTAGGAAAGAAAATGAGTTAACCACAATTACTGGCAATAGGTTATCAAGTGCCGTGCTGCCGTCGCCTGGGAGGCTGGCAAGCCTCTCTGTAAGTAACAAGGGTTCTTCATAAATCATATGCGAAATGCGAATGCCTTGCTCATTTATACAATGTAAAACAATTATAGCCATTGAGGAAGTTGAGGTTGCACCACCAAAAGCCCACGAAGTCCGTATCAAGATCCTTTACACCGGCGTGTAAGTTGACGCACTATTTATTGACGCTTATTGGGAAGGGACGAGATAGTAGTCTAATTTTGACTTTTTCTGTTCGGTCCCGGCCCGGCCGTGCTTTATAGTTGCCACACCGATTCATATACTCTCTCTGGCAGTGGTTAGTGAAAAAGAGAGATTGGGAGAGAGAGAGAAAAGCGGAGGACGATGTAAGAAGTTTGATTACCAGTTTCTGACTCGGGATGATGTCAAAACATTAGATGCTGAGGGTGTGTTCCCTTCTATCCTCGGTCACGAAGGTGGCGGTATTGTCGAGTCGGTCGGTGAGGGTGTCACTGAAGTTGCACCCGGTGACCATGTCATTCCTCTCTACACTGCCGAGTGCCGCGAGTGCAAATTCTGCAAGAGCGGCAAGACCAACCTTTGCGGTTCCGTCAGAGCCACTCAGGTAAGATAGCCCGTCAACCGTGGAGATGCATTTAAAGAAGCGTTCACGTACTAAGATGATGATGACTTATAGGGTCGTGGTTTGATGCCTGATGAGACTGTTCGTTTCACCTGCAAGGGCAAGCCTATCTACCACTACATGGGCTGCTCCACTTTCTCCGAATACACTGGTAAGCATATTGTGGGCCGACAAAGACATCAAGTAAGGTGCTGATCCCGCAAGTTTTTAGTCGTCGCCGATGTCTCCGTCGTCAAGGTCGACCCCAAGCCCAGCCTTCAGAAGCTCTGTCTTTTGGGTTGCGGTGTCACCACTGGTTTCGGTGCAGCCACCAAGACTGCCAAGGTCACCGCTGGTTCCTCTGTTGCCATTTTCGGTATGGGATGCATTGGCTTGAGCGTTGCTCAAGGTGTTGTGTACAACGGCGCCTCGCGCATCATTGCTGTTGATACGAACCCTGCCAAGGAAAAGTTGGCCCGTGAGTTTGGCTGCACTGAGTTTGTCAACCCTAAGGATTTCAACGAGCCCATCCAGCAGGTGCTTGTTAACATGACCGACGGTGGTTTGGACTACACCTTTGACTGCACGGGTAACGTTCACGTGATGCGCTCTGCTCTCGAAGCATGCCACAAGGGCTGGGGCGAGTCCACCATCATTGGTGTTGCCGCAGCTGGTCAGGAAATCAGCACGCGCCCATTCCAGTTGGTCACCGGTCGTGTATGGCGCGGATCTGCCTTTGGTGGCGTCAAGGGCCGCTCCGAAATGGGCGGTTTGGTGCAGAACTATCTTGATGGCAAGCTCAAGGTCGACGAGTTTATCACTCACACTATGGACTTTGACGATATCAACAAGGCCTTCGATGCTATGCACTCGGGCGATTGGTAAGTCGTCGTTTTTCATTTGATGCATGATGGACGTACTCTTTGTTGCGAGTACACTTATCTCTTCCTCTCTCTTCCTCTCTTCTCTTTTAGCATTCGTGCCGTTGTCACTGTCTGCAAGGAGTAAATCTTAGTACTTGAATAATAAAAAGAAATTAACAACAATGACAAGAGAAAGTTGACTGTGTTTCTGCTTTTGTATCGAGTAGAACTTTAATGTGGCTATGATGTGGAAAAAGCATGATAACGTGTGCACACATGATGTTGTTTAAAGCGAGAGTGATATAACAATATAGATAATGATTGCTGATTGTTTGCGATGTTTGGAAGGGACAAAGCGTGAAGGGAGAGAGAGAGAGAGAGAGAGAGAGCAGCATTGCTAAGACTAATGCTTGTTCTTATTGGCCAAACGTGCGGCACGAGCTTCGTTTGCCCATTTGGCCATGTCCACTTCCACGTCTTGGTATTTTACAATAAATGGATGCTCGAGCAACTGTGCATATGTGGGTCGCTTGTCGCCGTCTTTATGCAGACTATTGAAAAAAAAAAGGAAGGAAGGAAGAAAATCAGTCGCGCGATCTCATTTCCGTATGCGCGCTTGTGCAACAACGTACCAAGCAGTAATGAAGTCTCGTGCATCATCTGAGAAGTGGTCAGGCAATGTCGGTGGCTCTTCATCTACGATCGCCTTGAGCTGCGCAAACATGTTATCGTACTTGTACGGGTATTTACCACCTGCCATCTCCACTAGTGACAAGCCGAGTGACCAGACATCTGATGACACCGTGTATGTGTTGGCCGCCTTTATACGTTCTGGCTGTTGCATTGTGCAAAAAAAAAGAAAAGAAGAGGGAGGAGGGGCGTAAGTCAACGGAAGAGGAGAGAGTGGTAACATCGATCGGATAAAGGGGTCACTTACAGCCATGTAGCTCTGGCACCCAATGTTGGTCTTGGCTAATGATCTATCGAGTTGTCCTGACACGCCAAAGTCACACAATTTGACCTGTCCTTTGCTGTTGACGAGTACGTTGGTTGGCTTGACATCTAACATTGGTCACAGGAAGAAGGGGCCATTAGTCACATACTGCAACAATCGGATCGTCGGCATCGATCGAATGAGGTACATGTAATAGATCAATATGACATAGAAAAGAGAGATACCGTACCACGATGAATGATCGAAAGTTCATCCTTGAGGAACTTTAACCCCTTGACCATCTAATTGTTCGTGGGTTGGGGGAAGAGCAGGGTGGGTGTAAATAGTGTGTTGATGTGTGTGTGTGTGAGCGAGCGACACTTGATGATACACAAGAAGAAAACCTTATCGGGCAACATGCATGAAGAATAAAAAAGTACTTACCGAGGTTGTAATTTTCGCCAAAACATCCTCGGGCACGCCATCCCCATACACCTTGTCTAATGACCCCACATCCATGTACTCCATGCAGTAGTAGACGCATGACTCGATGAAGAATGCACCGTAGAATTCGACAATGTAGTCGCTCGTGCTCTTGTGGAGAATATCCAGTTCCATGAGAATCTGATGTAACTTGGTCTCGTCAAGTTCCAATCGAATTTCCTACATATGGTATATCAGGGGTTGGAGGAGAATAAAAGGGTTTTAAGGGGGTGAACAAGAAGAACAAACGAGGGAATCCTCGGTCAGACAACCGACATGTACAATATACTGCACGCTTATAATAAAGGAAATCCGTGACAAACCTTCATGGCCATAACGACATTGGTCAAGCGATGGTAGACCTATTTCCACGGTGGATAGATGACAGTCAGTGAATCCCCATTCTTCCACGTCCAAACTAGCACGTATAGCATACCTTTTGCACCGTGCCGTATTGCCCTTTGCCCAGCTCTTCCAGCAGCTTCAAGTCGTCCATTTTGATTGTAAAGCTGCTACCGTTGCTGAAATCCACTCCGTCGGCATGAATAATCGCTTTTCCGGCAAAGTTGAGCTTTCCAGATGGATCGCTATAAAATTATCTTTGTAAGCCTTTCAGAACAATAAAAGAGCGAAACACAGGAAAAGAACAGAATGGTAACATACACATATTTGGAGAAGTTAGCAAACGGCGTCTGTTCAGGTTTCGGTGCAAGACCAAGCTGCGCCAAATTCAAACCTGGTTTGTTGTTCAATCGCCCAGGTGGTCGCTTTCCCAACTGTGGCGAATGGTTAGCACCGTTGCCTGCAATGCCACCGCCTGGGAGTGGTGGTCGAGGAGAGCCAGACATTGGAGGTAAAGCCGGGCGACTCATGGGCGGCAGCACAGAGCGTCGTGGCGTCCCTGCACCTGGAATGCCTCCCGTGGGATTGATCTGCTGTGGTGTTGGAGCCGACGCTGAATGTTGCTGTGGCGTTGGGCGATGTGGTGGTGGTTGTGGTTGTAATGAGGGTGTCGAATGTAGCTGTTGCTTTTGAATCAGTGCGTCCCTCTCTTCGAGGGACATGTTTGCAAGCGATTTGTCGAGATCCAGTTTGACTAAGTTGTAAATGTGAGGGAAATAAAAGAGAGAAGAAAGAAAGAAAGGAAAAGAGTTAACCGAAGGGCCAAGAAGGTCGTTTGAAAATATTTCTGGTAACTGTGTGGAAAGAAAGGGCGCTACGTGCGACAGGTCAGCAGCGCTTTGGTACATAAACCAACACACCGCTTTTGGCAATCAAGAGTGGACATAGCCAATCATAATGCAAACTCTGGTCCGAGAGAAAACACTCGTCTTTCGTTTCGGGTTTCGAAGAGAAATTCCTGAAAAGTATACTGTCAGTGTGATGCATTGGCGGTCTCTTTTTCGTTCCCGATTCGCTAGCTACGATGGACACAAACGCATGCTTCCAAAAAGAGGTTTGATACAGTCGTAGACTGTATAAATGATGTGTGATAATATGCAAGCTCGAATCGGCACTTATTACACGAGACACCGGTGTGTATATGTGTGGATAACCTCGTCGAGTCGTGGGCGTCGCTATATGGAATGTTGTGCCATGTTGAGACTAGGCGCTGATAGCAAAATAGTTCTCTCTCCACACGCATCTTAACTCAGAATGACATAATATAAACTCATCGTCTATTATAGTGTTGTGTGAAGGCGTATTGTTGTGATCCAAGAAGTTTACTGTAGAACAGTAAGCATCATGATGCAGCTGCAGCAAAGATATAACAGCAGGTAAAGATCTGACTATGCGTGCTCCATAAACGGATGTCGACGATGTGTCTACCGTAATACGCGCGACGTTGCTGCTCCTACGGTTATAAATTAGTCCAGTGGTATCTTAAAATGTGTATGCGTGTGTTGCATACGATCATGCAAGATGCATCAGTCTCAAGACACAACAAGTAACAACACAGCAGGCAAGTCTCCATCGTCAGCAGCAATCATACTAACAACATATGAAACCCATTTTAGGCAAAGCGGTGTGGGTCCCCTCTCTCCCTTTCATCCTGCTCCTTGTTTCTGACCTAGTTCGGAACTTACAAACAGTTTCCTCCCTCTTTTTCTTTTCTTTAAATTAAAAGTATAAGGAAATGTCTTTGATCTACGGCGTAGTTGCGCATGGTCCTACCATCTTGACCGAACATACCAACAGCACTGGCAATTTTGGAACAGGCAAGATCATTCAACCCGAATTATTCCAGTTTATGTAGAATCCCTTTCTTTGCCCTACATATCCCTCTTAAGTTATCATACACACGGACCACAACACCCCATAACACCATTCTTGCATATATATATATATATATATATATATAGTGACTCAAGCGATTCTCGAAAAGATACCCCCAAACAATTCCAAGCTTACCTATGTCTATGACAGGTAAAAAAAACCATGCCGATAATAAAAAGTACTATTTTTCCTTCTTCCTCGATTGACATTGTGTCGTTAGATACCTGTTTCACTACATTTGTGAGGACGGCATTACCTACATGTGCATGGCAGACGACTCATTCGGACGTCGTATTCCGTTTGCCTTCTTACAAGATTTGAAGGAAAAGTTTTTGAGCACGTATGGCAAGGAGCGGGCACTGCAGTCGCCTGCGTACGGCTTGCAAGAGTTTTCCCGAGTGATGGCGAAGCAAATGGTAAACAATAATGCAGTACTTCCCCTATGTATACGCGACAACAATAACAAAAGGGTCCCGTATCATTACGAATCTATTAGGACTACTTTTCATCAAATCCAAGTTCAGACAGATTGAAGCAGGTGCATGGAGAGATTGAACAGGTCAAGGATGTCATGGTGCATAATATCGGTAAAGTTCTTTGTCTTTGTAAAAGATAAATTTGGGAATGATGTGTGGAAGTTCTTGATGGTGACAAATGGAGCGGGTTAGCCCGGGAACCCAAATCAACTGACTTATTTGCCTAAAAGAGCGTGTTTTGGAACGTGGTGAACGGATTGAACTGCTTGTCGACAAGACGGATAACTTGAACCAGCAAGCTTTCGCTTTCAAGAAGCGAAGCACACAACTTAAGGCAGGTTTTGGGAATCGTGCAATATTTAATGGTGACATATTTCTTCTGGACTAAATAAGCACCCATGTGTTAACAGCGTGCCATGTGGTGGAAAAACACCAAATTGATGGTGATGATTGTCATCCTCTGCTTCGTAAGTTCTATGCTAATCGTGGGATATGTTTTAGAGGGGTGGGATTGGGCCGAACAAAGATGAGATAAGCTATGTGCTAACTTAATGGCAACCATTTGTGGCATGTATAGCTTATTGCATACTTCATTGCTGCATCAGTGTGCGGTTTTCCTGGTAGGTATTATTTTAACTATCCCCCCCGGCAAAATCCCCACTAATGCTTTTATCTCCTCAATAGCATTCGGTGCCTGCCGCGGTTAATTTGAAATAGCTTCATTTGCTAGTGTGGTATTAACAAGGAACAAAAAAAAAAGATCTAAAATCTGGTGAATGATCTACTTACAAAAGAAGAAATTTAAAACAAAGAAAGGGGTGGGGATGGTGGTTTTATATATATGATCAGTATGTGTACTTTTTGGTTGCATATTGTGTGTGAAGAGTGACAAGGGGAATGTGAGTGTGTACGTGTGTGTATATGCAATTATGATGATGGAGAAGAGGAGTTGTTTTCGGATGAAGCGTTTTGTTGTTGTTGCTGCTGTTGCTGGTTCTTCTTTGCTTCTTCAGCCCGTTCCATTTCAATTCTTTCCTTTGCCCGGACAACCTTGGATTGGATATAGAATGAGCCACCTTTTGCCGTCTCGTTGACGTTGAACAAATGTTCATAGTTCTATATTAAAACGATTAGTATCCCAGCAACGAACCCGCCACCTAAGAGCGATCTAACCTATAATTACAATGGAAAAATATCCATTTCCATAGCAACCAGCTCACTCATACTCTTCACACCGTTTCTAAGCAGCATACATACCTTCACGATCTTTTCAAGATCGGCTTCTCTGGTGACATTGAGAATCTGGCAAGCCTCTTCCAATGACATGCCAGTCTTGCGAGTCAATGCGTCAACAGCCCCTTCTTTGGCACCACCTCGAGCTGCAGCACCACCACCTTGTGCGGCGTCTAGTGTTTTAAATGAAAAGAGTTTTGTTTAAGAAACCCTAATTTGAAATTTCGAATTTATAACATATACTTACTTGCAGCAGCCTGTTTATATGCTGCAATAAATGCGCGACCAACAACAGTGCCCAAAGACACCACAAGCTGAGCAATTAATCTAGCAGACTTTTTATGGAATTAAAAACAGAAAGTGTCAAAATAACCATTGAACTTTTAAATAAGCAAAATGATTTCTCATTTTCTACCATTTCGAGTCGTGAAAAGTTGTGTTTGGAATTGAAGGGCTGTTAATTCGGGAATACCCACACACACAACAAAAGAGCTGACGGAGTAGAGAAAGAAAGAAAATCGAGTCCCGCAAAGCTTTTTTTATGTTTGCAGTGTACTGCCGTACCTTTACCTGGGTTCTTTTTCTTAATAAAACAATGCATTGATATAATACTACGTCTTATTGACGTTCGCTTCTAAACATATAATTACATATCAAAAGCGCTTTTTAGCTATTAGCCTTGCGTTATGACCTGATACCCAGTCAGTTTTCTATGTGGCTGACTGACGACATATCATCCTTTTGTTTATAACTCTATTCGAGAAGAAGTATTGTACCTTAACAAGTTTCGATAGATATTGGCCTATATGCCCATTTACATTCTGGAGATGCGGATTTCTGGATGATATCTATATTTAAGTTAATAAGTATATACGCTACAGGGCATCATAGTGTGCATTATGTCGGATAAATGTCGTAATGTATGTTTGAAATGATGAAATGATTGTTTCTCTCACATCGTCGTGCACGTTGTATGCGGCAGTGATCCTGTTCTCCTAATTGAACATCTTCCTATACACCTTTCGATGCGACCAAACGCGTCGATCGAAAGCATTACATGACGTTTTCTTTGTCGGTATTTCCAAGTGCGGGAGCATTCATCCGCTACAGCTGTTCTTCGGATGCCGAAACGTCATCAATGCAACCAAATGAATGGAGTTCTCCCGATTATTCAGTGATAACTGCATACTTTGATATGGTTGATCGAAAAGCTTTGCGAAATAACGTTGCTTTTACGGGTTTCACGTTGATTCGCGCAACGAATTTGACGGGAACCTGCTTCTTGTGAGAAGCAACGAGAGAATGACCAACTGTTACTGGTATCGTCACATTATCATATGAGAGCAAAATGTGACCATTAAATCTGAAAGCTCAACTGATAAAAGTCGCTCTTCATCAACAACGGTTGCGTCCTATAAGACCTAACATATGTCTACTTTAACTCAAATTAATGTTTTCTAAACTTCGAAGACGATAATCTGCTTGCTGGAAAACCAATAGAGAGATGCTGCATATTGTCATCTGGTTACTGCTATAGACAGCTCTTCTCTCCCCCTTCTTACATCTTCACTTCTCTCTTCCTTTCCTTATTTTTTTTTACTCCGTTACCTCTCCTCACCAAACATCTTAATCTGGGTTGACTTTTTCCACTCTAGAAGGGATTTTTTTTAAGTTAAGCACCCCCTCTTATTATGTATTTTTTCTTCCTCGCGACAAGAATGCTATAAGCGTATCGTAATTAACCTTCCAATAAATACAAAAAGTTTAGGCTATATATTATAGAACTTAGCAGGAACAAAAGGACGGCAAGAAAATAGGCTAAAATTTGTCAATTGACGGGTTTGCGAAAGTACGCATCCAGTCTAATACATATTAATGATGCTGTTAGTAGAAAGAGGAATCTCAAAAGCACACGAGATAAGTATTCTACTTCAGCACTCCGCTTATCATCGACAGCAGGATACAGTACAGGAAGAATATCGATTAGTAGTGTTGTACCAGTAAGCAATAAAAAGATTTTGTAGAAGTTTTCCCTTGATGCTTTGGCAAGTTTATATAGAGCAATACTAAATTTATTGCGTACTTAACAGAGCTGAATCAATCAATAGCATGAAAACAATTGGTAATAGAATCCAGTGACTTTTCCAAATCAAGTAAAATATACGCGTCATTATACTGTCTCGTTTTGTTTAGTGTATCTTGTCCGTTTAAAATTGTTTTTATTATGCAGTAGGTGTTGCTCTGTCGAGTTAAAAAATTTATATTACATTCTAAAAAATCCAGACAGACAGATACATCACATAGGAGAACTTATAGTCAGCATATAGTAGCTCACTCGCTACTATGCATTTGACTAGTTTAAGATACTTTCACTCTTCCTATATCTATTTTTTTCTTAGTAGCTTGGCTGTAGGTAAAATGTCTTTAGTTTGCCCCCAGTGCTCAATGTTCAATGTGAACCCCATTCCTTGGCAGCTTTCTTACTAATCAAAATGGAAAGTTGAAACATGGTTTAGTTTCTTTTGTATCTAATTTCTTGGTAGGTAGGACCTGTGTTACGCAAATCCTGAAGTAGAGAGAACCTGACCAGGCAGCGGCTAATTCTTCGGCGGAGTAGTGCGCCGGGGGGGCCGAGCGAGAGTATGCTACGTGGTAGATCAATCCGATGTGGGATGGCGGATTCACCAGTTAATGCTGTACACACTGCTATGTACCACAATCCCTGTGCTCTGGTTTTTTTTTACCAAGATGAAATACAGATTATATTAGAGATTTTTTTAATATGATAGAGTGCCTTTTATTTTGCTATACAGACTGTTCTTTCCTGACACTTCTACTCAACTCTTTTTTTCGAGAAAAAAATAAAAATTTCTATATCCCACGCACATTTGCCTGGCTCATGGCTATTATTACTGGTGTGTGAAAATGATTATGGCATGACCTCGGCGATACGTTACGTGTTTTTTAATGAAGGAACATCCTTGACGCGAGTACAAACACGGGTACAGCTAATGACGAGTCACCCAACCCTATATATCTCCGCCCATTAGCCAGTTGTCATCGTTGTCTTCAGTATGGTTACTATTATCATCACAAAGAATTTGGTACCGTATTTCTCGACTGCGTGTCACATACATTGTCAAAAGCTGTGGGTATGGAAAAGGAGACGGTTTATGCAAGAGGAGTAAACAGATAAACAATCATAAGACAAAGAAAAGATTGACTTGTAATATTCGAGCGTGATACAAAGAACATGCGGAGAAAGTTATCTCCATCGTCTGTTCTCCTCGTTTCCCCCTGAATTTCGTCCGTCATTTCTTTGTCTACTTTCTGCAGGAGCATGATGGCAAAATAACATTGTCCGGTTAGACGAGAGAAACTCAATAACGCCCGCTCCGTAGGTTTTCCCATGTAATACATTATATTAGCATTTCGCGCTATAAAAGCACTTCCTTTTACCATCCAGCGAAGTCCTTTACTCTTTAACTCTTTTTCTCTTTTCTGCAGAAATCATGTCGCTTACCACCGAATACACAACCGCTGACGGCTTCAAGCTCAACCGTAAGTGTCTCTTCTGTTTATTGTAAGCTATCATGGTTTCCATCAGGTCTATTGATGTACTGACGCCGAAAAAACTTATACTCATCGTATGTATATACAACAGTCAACACTGGTCTTTTCATCAACAACGAGTTTGTTGCTGGATCTAGCACCATCGACACCATCAACCCCTCCACTGGCAAGGTCATTGCATCTGTACAAGCTGGTAGGTTACTTACTCCACTACGACACGCCCGCGCAGTCTTTTGAAATTACACGGAAGCTGTCTCTTTTCTGACTGACGCGTGTTTTGATGATAATAGCCGAGTCCAAGGAAGTTAATTTAGCTGTTGAGGCTGCACACAAGGCTTTCTATGGTGGTTGGAAAACCAGCTCCCCCAGAGAGCGCTCCCGTCTTATGCACAAGCTTGCTGATCTCGTCGAGCGTGATTCTGATGAGTTGGCTCACATCGAAACTTTGGATAACGGCAAACCATTGAATGACTCTAAGACGTTCGATGTTCCCGGCTTGGTTTCCCAATTGTAAGTTGGCAAAAAGAAAATCACAATGCTTTTGCTTGTGGGTCTTCTTTATTTTACTCTTTTTCATCTCTATCGTTTTGTTTATTATTTATCTCTCGCATTACATCATCAGCATTAACTATGGACTGGGTACTCTTTTTTTATTATCGTAATTGAAAAGGCGCTACTTTGCGGGTGTTACCGACAAGGTTCACGGCAAGGTGATTGAGACTCAAGGCAAGCTTTCATACACTGTTCACGAGCCTATTGGTGTTTGTGGTGGTATCATCCCATGGTAAAATAGAAGAAAAGAAGGATGCAAGGACTTGGATATTAAGAAAAAAGAAAGGGAAAAAAGTCTGTCGTACGATGTGCAGTTTGAAAATTAAGCTCCATGATTTATCAGGAACTTCCCTCTTAACATGTTCTCATGGAAGATTGCTCCAGCAATTGCCACTGCCAACACAGTTGTTATCAAGACATCCGAGCTGACTCCATTGTCAGCTTTGAAGGTTGCTGCCCTCATCAAGGAAGCTGGCTTCCGTAAGTAGTGCAGCTTAAAAACATTATTATCTTAAGGCTCTACGTATGTTCTCTTATTTGCGGTACTATTGATAATTGACTTTTGAAACTGTAAAACTATCCTACTTTAATAGCCCCTGGTGTTCTCAACGTCATTACTGGTTATGGTCACATCGCCGGTGATGCTTTGGCACGCCACGACAAGGTCGGCAAGATCGCTTTCACTGGCTCCACAGCCATCGGCCGTTTGATCATGAAGGCTGCTGCTGAGACCAACTTGAAGAAGGTTACTTTGGAATTGGGTGGCAAGTCCCCCAATATCATTTTCGATGATGTTCAGAACTTGGATGAAGTTGTTTTCTGGTCAAGACTTGGAATTTACATGAACGCTGGACAAGTTTGTGAGTGAAGATATGATCACCAAGTATTCGTCGATTTCTGAAGTTACTAATACGTACGCTTCAATGATAGGCTGTGCTGGTTCGCGTATCTTTGTTCAAGAAGGCATATATGACCAATTCATTGAAAAGTTCAAGGCCTTGGCTTCCACTGGCAAGGTCGGTAACCCTTACGAAGCCACTACCTTCCAGGGCCCCCAGATCTCCGAAAAGCAGTTTGAGCGTGTAATGGGTTACATTGAGGCTGGTAAGCAAGAGGGTGCTACCTGCCTTTTGGGTGGTAACCGTGTGGGCGACTCCGGTTACTTTATCGAGCCCACCATCTTTACTGGTAAGTTTGAAAAATAGTACATCGCACTCTTTTTACCTATACATAGTGCTTATTCACATATTACAATTACCCACCCTCGATATTACTATCACTATGTAGATGTCACTCCCAAGATGAAGGTATTTTTTCTTTTTATTGTCGTGATACTAAATGCTAGTAGAGCGTGCATGGCAAGAGTGATTTTAATATATGTATGCAATGATAGATCATGCAAGAAGAGATCTTTGGCCCTGTTGTAGCCATCTCCAAGTTCACGGATGTCGATGATGTTATTGAAAAGGCACACGACACCAGCTATGGTCTTGCTGCTGCCGTTTTCACTTCCAACATTACTCGTGCCGTCACTGTCTCGAACCGCCTGGAGGCTGGTACCGTCTGTAAGTAGACCATCGTTATTGACGGAAAAAGAAGTGAAATATCTTTTTTTTTTTGAATCTGATAATAATTATTGCAAATCGTTTTAGGGGTCAACTGCTACAACCAAATCTCTGAGAATGCTCCATTCGGTGGCTACAAGCAGAGTGGTTTCGGCCGTGAAAACTCTGTCTACGCTCTTGAGAACTATACTCAAGTCAAGGCAATCAAGATCAACATCGGCTTGCAATAAGAATTATAGCAGCTACCATTCTCTCTGTCTAAATCACCTTTTTTTTAAAACTCGAATAAAACGCAGTTTTGTTGTTCAGAATAACTGAATATCCTTCAAACAGAGCTCTATTTCTCGTGCTGTACTCTTTGAATGTTAAAGGTTACACGCTGTATATGACGTTAGGAGCTACCAAAGAATGGTGCCTGACATAAGAGGCTTGCACGAAAGGAAACGAAAAACTCAAGATTGTAGTATTTGTACCCTATTATCACGATAAAAGGCTAGCAAGCAAGAAGTCTACCACTATTAACATCAGTTTTGCGGCTGGACACGTATAAACTTTTTGTTGCAAGGCTTTATAGACAGCTAGCGCACTGCGATTTCGAATTTGTTCTGGACAGGCGATTAATGCGCCGACGTACACAGCTACTGATATTGAGCGCATAGACTCTCCTTTGCGAAAACATTAGACTTAAAGTTTGACATCCAGTTTTTGGGGATATTCAGGCAAAAAATTATATCCATATTCATTGACTTTGAATGGTGTAGGGAATTGAGTTGATGCTAGGAAACAGCTATATTTAGAAGCTTGGTCGCATAAAAGCCACTTGGCTTTGCTCCACCACGTACAGTATATATGGCGTAGACTAAATGTCGAACAGAAAATGATGCCATCCAAAAGCACTGATGGTTGCTTTTGCAAGGCTGTCCTTAGCATGTAGACCATTCAACGAGTCCGCACTGTTAGAACAAACCGTAGCTGTTTGGTAAATTCAGCACGCATGTTCATTTGACCAGCGGAAGGCCTCCTCGCCTAATCATTCTTTATAGCTCGGGCCTATTCCACGTTGTATATACGAGTCTAGTTATACAACAATGATTGCTTAGTTATCGATATAGTGCTGCAGCTTGCTAGAAACATGTTTCCATAAAGTGAATGATCTATTGCATTATTAAGGGGGAGTTTCTAAAAATGACACGTTAAAATTACTGGTATGCATTCTTCTTCCGTATTTCGTTGGTTGCTTATTGTTGCTTGGAACTCGTAACACGTAAGTAAACAAGCAATATATGCTAGCATAGAATCCTCAATCGCCTGGAGAGATGGTGACCTTCCCCTGCTCCGTAGTGTGGCCAAGAAAGAAATGCGCCCTTCTGTGTAACTTTATCGAATGATTTTAGCGTGTCTGCGGAAGTCAGCATGAAAATGGAAAAGCAGGGTACACTCATATTGTGGTTTACATGCAAAACCATTCCGCTTTGCATTCAAAGCACTGTAGCGGTAACAGAAAGCAAAACACGAGCATCAAGAAGGCGACGTAATTAAACAAAAGGTTATGTATTTAACAATGTTATACAAAAGACATTTGCAGGGGCCCACTGTGCTCTTCACGTAATGTTATGTAATATGGAAAACGGGGGATATACACATTAGAAAAACTTGCCAATCAACTTGCTGGCCATATCGCCGCCACCGGAGGAGTGGCTTTCTTCCTTCTTTCCTCCACCAAGCATGGAGCTGACCATTCCACCCAAGCCTGACGATTCCTTTTGTCCTGATCCACCGCCCTGGGCAGACATGAGCATTCCAATCATACTACCGATACCGCCGCTGGAGCCACTACTGCCACCCTGCTTTTGAGAGTACAGCTTGAAGGCCATCATAGCAGCTGATTGAATAGCTTCTGACTTGTCGGAGCCACCGCTGCTGCCGCCACCACTTTGCTTGGCAAAGAGCTTAGCAGCCTCGGCCATGGCCATGCCGATGAAGGCGTTCATGCCACCGCTTTCACCGCCCGAGCGGTGCTTTTCGTAAGCTTCCACAGCAGCAGCAGAACCAATATCGCGGGGCGAGGAAGACTGAGCTCCATCACCATAAAGTTCTCTGTGCTTATTCTCTGCCGCTGCAACGTCATCGTCCGACGGGTCGTCGACCGAGTCCTTCTTGTCCACGATGTTCGAAAGGACAGACGAGAACAAGCTGTGTTCTTCTTCGCTACCAGCATGCTGCGAGGCATATCGGCTTGCATCGGCTACGTTTTGGCCATATGGAGATCCTTCAGGCTGTCCATAACCGCCAACGGCACCTATGTATATAAAGTGGTTGCGAAAAAAGGGTGTACCCTGTCAAGAAAACCGTTCGACTTCCTTTATGCCCTCTTGAACCCTCAAAAGCTTATGCTATGTGTATTTACCTTGATAGCTGTTGGCTTCACCGCCTTGGTAACTGCTAGCTTCACCACCGTAGGACATTGTAACAGATTTGAGAAGAAAAGTTGTGAGAGATGAGAGGAAATAAGAAAGAGGAGAGAGGAGCTCGTGACGCCGAGAATCCAGCCTTTTTGTCGCGACTTGGAGGTTGCGTGGCGAGTGCTTTGCAGGCCAGCCACAGTTTCAAACTCATCGCCGCCGCGCCCATGCGCTCGCAACTTCACACGCCTCTACCTCCACTATTTTTCAGAAAAAATTATCCACACCCCGTCTGCTATCCCCTCAAGGCCACGTATATTGCCGCTCTGTATTTACGTGGTCATAATTTGACACTAAAGAAATACTGTCAGGATCTTCTAACTACACCGATTTTCCGCTGAACCCTTACGTTTGCAAGACATGTTGTGTAACAATCGCTCAGCCGCACTATAGCTTCAGTTGCAGGTACTTCTAATCTCCGGTCCTTCGCACATAAGAGGAGCATGCCTTTGAGCTACTATGTGGATAGACTTTTTTAGGCGACCATAGCTATTATGCATGACGTTGGCGATCAGGAAGTTCCTCAAAAGCTTGGCATATGTTATCAACGGTTTTCAAACCACATGCTTATGTTGTTTCTATAAGAACGATTGTTTTCCATGCAAAAGACTGCATGCCATTATGGCTTGCGCGCTAAGCACATGACACCTGCCTTTGCTTATGAAAAACAATTATGCTTGCGATATGTATATACTTTGTTTCATTATGCTATTTACCTAAAACCGTAAACTTGATAGCGCCAGACCTTCTGTAGGCATTGTATCCAGCCTCACGTTCACTGTATGCTTCCGTTCTCAGTATAATAAAAAAAGGAAGTGTATGTAAAAGCATTCGAAGTTGCAGTTTCCTTGATTGTCATAAAATCCGTTGGTCTCACTGATGGAGAAGCTACTGCTACTATCTATACACACGGAGAAGTGGACTGTTCATTCGTTCTATAATTTCTCCTTTTCTTTTTTGCTTGGTTGAATAAAAAATAAGATTATAGCAAGTTTTGCATGGTTGAGCTTACTGTCCCCGCTACTGCTACATCATAAACTTCATCAGGAGGAGTTGCAGCAGCCAGCAGCAAGCGTCTGTTACTGCTAGTTCCAATTCATTGCATTATAGTGATTCGTGACTTTCTGTTTGTACTCCTTATTGATGCATGGATTTCACGGAGCATATCGCTTACTGTAGAATCATAACCACTACAGAAAGATACTTGCAACATTAGCGTACCTTCTCGCCCCTAGCATCTGACCCCATCGTCATTATTTAGAGCTTACTCCTATAAATATAAATTCCCCGCGCTTGTACTTATGCGCTTCACAGGAGAATCCTGAGTTATACTCAGTAAGGGTATGTAACAAAAAGGTAATATTTGAGTAGTAGTGTTTTTGTTATTGATGTACGGAGCAACAATGTGATGTTAGGTCATTTCTTATCAATCAAGATGATTAGACAAGGGACATCGTAGTATATGTGACATTTGACGGTGTTTTTGTCTTTCTTGTAAATCAAATATTGATCTCATATATAGGTCATATTTTATTAACGCAAACAGATATGTAGAAAAGATTTTAAAAGGCAATGTAAGCTATGTCGCCGAGGGCCATGCAGTGGAAATTATATCAAACGCCATGAAGAGGAAGGATGGATCCTATATACAATTACACCTTAGCGTAAACCAGGAATGATTGAGCTTCGGTCTCCTTCGGAACTTTCGGAAGCGCTATTTCTCGCCAATTCTTCTAGGTCTTCCGAGCTTAAGCTTCCTGGCTGACCTGGTTGGCCTGGTTGGCCTGGTTGGCCTGGTTGACCTGATTGACCTGGTTGACCTGGTTGACCGGGTTGGCCAGGCATCCCCGGCTCACCGCGTTTTTCTTTGGTCGGTGCACTTTCGCTACCTTTCTTTCCCTTTTGAGTGGGGTTTGATGGCTTTGTTCCTTTCGGTTTTGTGGATCCGGCAGTACTTGTATCTGTCTTTGACTTGTCTTGTTTCGTTGTGGCGGGCGACGACGACGATGACGATGCTGATGATCCAGGTGGTGTCGAACCAGGTGTTGTTGTTTGCGGTGTCGTTGACTTTGATGTGTCGTTCTTATTCAAGCCGGAGACTTTATCAACGATTGTAAGCGTATTTTTAGTTCCGTCCATAGCTTTCAATCCAAAATGGGCTGTGTGCGACATGACTTTAGTGCCCGTTGGGGTTAACTTCAATGATTCTTCTCCTCGCTTGCTATTGACAATGCGACGCACTTGTTGCTGTCCTTGGCTAATCGTAGTGTCGCGCCTACCAAGCGCAGGACCAGCGTGTCCAGAAAGATTTACTCTTGCGTTATCCGAGTTTCCGTGGGTAGGTTGCTGACCAGTAATGCCTGATTGCTGGACTGTTCCAAGGCGGGGTTGTGGAGGCCCAGAACGCTTCACATGAACACCTGAGCTATGGATGATATGCTCATTACCAGCGTCCTCTCGGGCAAGAGTTGGTGAAGAAATAGCGCAAATAGCCAAGGCGGTGGCAATAACTGCAGAATCAAATCGCATGTTGTTGAGGATTGTCTTTACACAAAAGTAGAAACAATGAATAAAAGCAGAACGTTCTTCGCTTTTTATATCATTCAACAAAGGTGCGCCTCCTCGACAAGCGTCTGACCATCCCCGGTAAAAAAACCCAATCCCCCTTTTTGCTCTCCCAGTATCTGCAACACGGGTACGATGATTGCAGGTACTCGTTATCTAGGGATTCGTTTTGTTATGTAGAAACATGTATACGGAGCAGGTGTAGTACTAGTGTCAGAAGACAAGGACCTAGCACAGAACCCATATTTCTTTTTCTTGTATACTATAACTTGGAAAAGCCTTTTCTTCCTCTTATTAAACGAATTAGATGATGCACGTAGATTTATCTTTTGAAAATCAACAGTTTAACCCTTAAAGAAGGTTACATAATTGCCTCCAAAAGTTTCTGTAAACGTAGACCATAGTACGTACGCATCATTTTCCGTAAGATGCAAGTTGTACCTACAATCAACCCCTTGGACTTAACCTTACCCGTAATCGAGTCGCAACTCCCTTATCTGACATTGCTCCTAAACTCTCGCTTGCAGTGGTACGCTTTCGATGCCTGTTGTCGAGTCTTATATAGTTCGCTCCTAGTTGGTCTGCTGTTCTTTCGTCCCCTTCTTGTTGATATGATTGTATGCTGCAGTGCTGCACAATATGCCAAGCGCCTTACACTAAAAAAAAGAATCTCCTTTCTTCTCTGCGTTTGCTTAAGTGCGCTACCATTGCCCGTTCAGATATCAAAGAATGAATTCGAGCTCACATAACATATACTGTACAAGTGTCACTGGCACCAGTTGCTTATCGACTTTTAGATATCATCTTTAGCTTTGTTATTATACATCATTATACACACCCTGATACTCCATAATTTTTTCAGACAGGATGTCGTTCGTTTACAAATTAGGAGGTTTTTATTTGTAGGTATATTCTATACTAGCTAACAAAACAAGATGACAGCCTGGAAGAACCCTATTTGTTATTATCCTGACTTGGAGAAAAGAGGAAAATGCAGTAAATAATTGAATTGCACAAAACTTGGAAGGATTACCAAGGGCATCGAGTGAATGGTCTATACTGAATATATACATTGGTGTTATTTCTAGAAAGACTATAGTGTAAGGACACATGTGATTGATTTAAGGGCGATTGCTATAGCCCTAGATATTACAACATACGACTATACTGCTGGAAAGACGTCAAAGTATTGCTAATATGCAAAGATGGCATTTAAAATAAGAGAAGTGCTACGCGTACGAGTTTTTTTGAGCGGGTTTTTAAAGTGGTTGTGTTGTGAAACCTTGTATAGCCAATCCGATTGCCGTCTTGCATGTATGAGTTTTTTGCTAAAGGAACTGAACAGCATATGCTATCCATCAATCTTCCGTTTTTTTGGATGGTCTTGTCAAAATAAATAGCTATTGTCATACTTCTTGATGTACAAACTGCTCATTAAATGGGCGCAATGGATTTATTTACGCTGTTCTTTTCGAGATCTTACACGTCTGTTCTGCCACTATACAGTAATGGCATATATAAGTTTTGCATTTGCTTCTTTCTTTAAGTTCTTGGCCTTTTCCCAATATTTGATGCCACACCAAGCTCGATATCAGGACTCTAATCAATCAAGCAGCTCACTTGTTCATGTGGAGGAGTTTTCTACCGAGTCCACATAGGTAACAATCACTTATAAAAGAGCTCTGGCAGCGCTCTTTTATGCGCACGAGTTTTTTCTATACTGGTTCCATGCGTAAAACATCCCTTTAGCATAAGCTACTGTGGTAAGAATTGGTGTTTATGTATAAACAAGTGAAAGCGAAACATATAATAAGAGAATTTAAACGCTAATTCATGTGAGAGTAAGTATAAGGTGAATAACGGTAATTGTATCTGAAAGAGAAAAATAAAAATGAAATGGAGGAAAGATAAATATATGGGTTGTTACAGCAAGAAAATATCGGGAAAAGGTAATAAAGACTGTCAGATACTATCTATACATTTCTAGAAGTACAATGGAACGAAAATATGCACTTTTCCACATGCGAGTTCGTGCATAAAACGTGAGATCTTCAACACTTTCTATCTGCATTAGATCCTATTCATTTAGATTTTTGCTCCTTCTACTCTACCTTCTTCCAAATTTTCAGCTATAAATAAAATGGCTGTTTCACGTGCAAAGATCATTTGAATGTAAGATATGTATATAAGGCGCAATGTTTGCGATGTTGTAGTCTTGGCCTTGTTTTAAAGTAGGAAGTTAGAAAGTACTTACCCTCATTATTATTTCTACTTAATATGTTAGATCATAGTCTTCGTACATTTGAAAAGCATATAGTACTCGAAAGTACAGTGCGCAGGCTTCCTATGAAGCTTCCACTTCCTATGGAGCTGTTTGAACGGTCTTCAGATTTAGAGTTAACCGACTGTAACCAGGTTAAAAAAACCTCGTACGCGTTAGCAAATAGCTGTCAAAATTTGTCCCAGCTGGTTATAATTTACGTAGAACCAGGATAGAAGAAACTCGTACGCGTAAGCAGATGTATAACTGTCAAAACTTGTCCCCGCTACTTATGATTTACGTGGAAACAGGTTAAAAAACTCGTACGCGTAAGTAGATAACTGTCAAAACTTGCCCCGCTACTTGTGATTTACGTGGAACCAGTATAGAAAAAACTCGTGCGCATAAAAGAGCGCTGCCCAGAGCTCTTTTATAAGTGATTGTTACCTATGTGGACTCGGTAGAAAACTCCTCCACATGAACAAGTGAGCTGCTTGATTGATTAGAGTCCTGATATCGAGCTTGGTGTGGCATCAAATATTGGGAAAAGGCCAAGAACTTAAAGAAAGAAGCAAATGCAAAACTTATATATGCCATTACTGTATAGTGGCAGAACAGACGTGTAAGATCTCGAAAAGAACAGCGTAAATAAATCCATTGCGCCCATTTAATGAGCAGTTTGTACATCAAGAAGTATGACAATAGCTATTTATTTTGACAAGACCATCCAAAAAAACGGAAGATTGATGGATAGCATATGCTGTTCAGTTCCTTTAGCAAAAAACTCATACATGCAAGACGGCAATCGGATTGGCTATACAAGGTTTCACAACACAACCACTTTGAAAACCCGCTCAGAAAAACTCGTACGCGTAAGAAAAAAAACTCGTACGCGTAGCACTTCTCTTAAAATAATTTACAAGTAGAAATTCCGTACATCCGACACACCAAACGAGTCACCACATGTTGGGCATCGTCGCTGACGAGTTTCTAGGCGTTTATCGATACATTGGGCACAGAATGTATGCATGCACTTCGCTAGTAGCTTGTTCCGAACACGATCGTGACAGGCACCACACTTGAGCAACATCTGTTATCGGTCATGTTAGTCTTTTTCCCAGGAGTAATATCGAAGCTTCATCTCGTTCTCTTCTAGCTTACCCTGAAGTCATTGCATTCCTCTGCTAGTTTCCCCTCCGCAGGGTTCTCACCCTGAGATACCATAGCCCATTGACGGCTCATCTTGCTGTAGTCATCATCAACCTTCTTTCGTAGTTGCCTTTCTTCTTCCAACGTTCGAGTCTTGTCTTTCACCATTTTTTGCAACTGAAATCAAGAAGGTAGGTGATAAGTATATGTTAACACTATATGATACAAGATTTCATTACCTCGCCTAGAAAATGATCACTGTGCTCTAGTTTTATCCGAAGTTCACCACATTTATGCTGCAGATCTTCAACATCTACGCGTCGCTCTTCAAGAGACTGTAGAGAGCTGCGAACTTCGCTCTCTTTCTCGTTCTAATAAAGAATAAGAAGAAGAAAAGAATAGATAAGTTTCGATCGATGATTAGCAATCATACTGTATAATTTTTCTTCAGATCAAACGTACGATTTGCAATTCGAGAGTTCGTTCACGATCTTCTAGTTGTCGAATATGTTCCAATTGTTGTTCACTTGTTCGCCGCAGACCAGCAACGTTCAACATGTGTTTATCCTTTGATGCTTTCAATCCTGGAAAAGTGTGTCCGAATTTAACTTTCTAAAGGATAACTGTATATTTAGTCCTTCTTCCTTTCCTCGTTCGAAACATCATTTCAATATATAGATATATCACCTCAGCTCGTAGTTTTTCTCTTTGTTCGTTCCTTCGTGATAAATCAAATACTGGTTTCCCACTTTGCTCTTCCAATTGCGTAAATATTGATCCTGCTCGATCGATTTGCGTCATAAGCTGTGTTTCGCTCTATTGAACAAAAAGGAAAAAGCAAGTTGTTGGCTCTTGTCCATGTAAACTACACATCTTCCATCAATCCAAAGCCGAGCGCTTACGTTCGAAAGGAACTCCATCATCAACTGCAGCTTTTTGGATTTTAATGACTGTTCGTCAACCTTCTCCATAAGCTCTTTGATGCTTCTGTATACGTCGGTCATTTGTGCTATGTCACCGTCGATCCAAAACGCGAGCTTTTGTCGTAATTCTTCTGTATCGCTGGAGGTCATCTCCTTTCCGTCAGCTGAGTTTGTGTGGTATTTGAGTTCGAGATGTTTTACGATTGTTTTTGCGTTGCTGTCAAAAATCTGGTATTTAATCACAGAGCCTGCAGCTTTGTTACAATTTATACAAGGATGTTGCTTACATTATCCTCGAATAGATTTTATCAAAGGCCATCACTGTATGGTTTAAAGGATTATCACCGCCTTCTTCACAAGACCGAATCGCTGCTCGTAATGAGGATGTTTGCTGTTCAAGCTTTGTGATACGATTCTAAAAGATAATGCACATTAGTTCGAAAAGTAAATCGGCACAAAGAAAAAACAAGGGAAGAGAGAAGGCCTGGGTCTAGCAATTTAACTTACTGCTTCATTTTCAATCGTCATTGAAACCTCACCATGGAGTTGTTTTTCTCGCGCCTTTTTACTGGTGTAGGTATCCACAATTCCTTGGAAATCATCACGTTGCTTTCGGATTCGCGCCAGATCGCTTTCCAGTCGGCGCATTTCCGTTTCCATAGCCATACTTTGCGACAGCTTTTCTGAATTAATCTCTTCGACAAGTTTCCTTCTTTCCGCCTTGACCTCCTCCAATTCATGGTCCAACTGTGATTGTATCTCGTGCAGATAATGTGCTCGCGACTTGTAGTGTTCCAATGATAGCTGCAAAGCCTTGTAATATTCTGATGCCAATAGTTTCTCATCAGTCAACATGGCGAATTCGTTCCGTAAACGTTCAGTGTCTTCAACTAGTGTTTGACGTTCTCGTTGCAAATCCTCAATTTCTTTAACTCGTGCGTCGACAATAAGTTGTTGTTCAGCAACCTCGGTTTTACAGGCTTCATTTTCAAGTGTTTTGGTCTACATAAAAAACGGTGCGATAGCGTCGCATTCAATACATCTATGCACATAACAGATGTTTTATATCTTACGCTACTTATTTTTTGCCCTGCCTCAAAGTTTACCTCATTTTTTACGGGCTCCTGAACTTGTGTAGTAGCTGATGGCGCATGAGTTGCTGGCGAACCATCGCGCTGTGCAGATTGTGGCCCGGCGAGTCCACTCGACAATAACGATGCAACAGCTGTACTTTCTGCACGATCGTACCGTTTTTCAGCTTGAGCTAGTTTTTCAGAGCACTGATACAATGCTTCTTGAGCCTGGCAAAGTTGATTTTCCTTTGTCCGAATACTGTTGAGCACGTCGTCTGATTGCTCGAGTAAGGAGTGGTATTGACTTTCCATTTCTTTTGACAACGCTCGATTTCGCTCATAAGATGCACGTAGTTCTTCAGTCTCGTTTCGAACCCATTGAACCAATTCTAATTTAACAGAAATATTACAAGGCATAGATCAGAATGCTTGATTACAAAAATTTGCCTGATATAATACATCATTGTATCTTACACACGTACCTTGCTTTTGATCATCCTGAACACCGATATGATCTGTGCGCTTTACCCAAGCTCGGATGAACTTCAAGATACGCAGCCCAGCCTCTCGTATTGTCGCCTGAGACCTGTGAAGTTCCTGTTCCAATCTTCCAGTATCTTGCTCATCTTTGGGAATACCTGTGTGTATAGAATTCAAAATAACTTATTACCAGTCCATTCTAGATGATCTGTATTAAAAAGTTAACCATCGATAAAGTTACCTTGCATAGGGTCACTGTTGCCATCTACAAGCGCTCGTGAAAACACCAATATATCACTTTGCAGCTATTATCATGAAAACATTGTTGAATGTTTGATTTTCTTTCACCATAAGCACAATGAAAGATAGATTATAAACCATACCATATTCCACTGAATTCGGATAACGCTTCGTTGTACTTCGAAATCTTCGCATCGAAGGTCGATGTTTGCAATTCGGTTTTCTAATGAGCTAAACTCTTCCTAATAAAGCCATAGAGATTAAATTTACGATGAACTAACAAAACGGGTGTAACTGCCAAGATAGAATTGCGTACTTTTGCCGATCGCATTCTCTTCAATAGAGCATCCTTTGGTAGTTGATCATGTCCAATCTAAAATTGCATGTAAAATAACCTTTTAGAGAAACAATTGTGAATTAACTTTTCATACTAAGCTTAAGCTTCTATAGGCTAAACATACGATAAAATGTTCATCTTTTGAATGTGGAGAAACTGGAGTAGAAGAGGAAGAGGACGATTGTGGGTTGAATTGCTCGTTGTTGGAAGAAATCGACTGTGAAGGAGTGCTGTTGGATATTTTTCCATTAGCAGTAAATCGTTTTTTCAACGGTGGTCTGGATATGGTAGAAGCATCGGTAGATATTGCGCTTCCATCGACGCTTTCCAACCATCGTCGCTTTTTGTCGACAGGAGAATTAGACATGGTTGTCGATAAAGGATTAACGAACAGACCCAGTGATGTTACTCATGAAAATTTGAATTTCCGTCACTAGGTTCTGAGCTTTGGCCTCAGCTTTTACAGAAAATATAATACACAGAGTAGAGAAAATAATAGTACAGTAGCTTGCCGATGACTTTACTAAAATGAGTTCTTCTGTCAGAACAGCTATATAGCTACCGCCATTACTGGGACTTGTTTCCTTCATGAGAAAGGACGACGGTGCCGCGGCCACCGGCATGTATAAAACGGTCAAGAAGGCAGGTGATGACGAGGAGGATTGGATAGAAGCTAGATGACTAATAGAGATGGTGTCAAAAAATGTATGTAAAACCGGGTGATGATGCAGGGTTTAATATTCAGTGGCGACAATGCAGCGCTGTTACACTGGAAGACTTGCTGATCGAATGATAAAGAGTAATTCAAACTGCTCCGAGTCTGCCGTTTAATAAGAAGCCGTTAACTACATTCTGCGAGAGCTTATAATATGTCTGGGTCAACATCGACAACAACATATAGACAGCACTGAAGCATGCCCACCTTTTCTTTAAAAAAAGCTTGGATGAGCTAATGATTATTCAGGATACGCTAATTCTAAAGTAGCAAATTGAGCGTGAGACGATCGATACTTGTGAATGAAAACATTCTCAAAAAATGTAGCAAACTGGTCATAAGTCTTTCTGATACAGCAAGCAATTGAAAGTAATATTTATTTCCAGAGCGAAACTTTATTCCTCTATTACACGATCTAGTCAAGGAGCTGATTTATTGTCTTTTCATACCACTGACCATGGATACAATAATTATAGTCTACTAGAGCTGCAAATCGAACGCACAACTTCTCCAATGGTTCTCGTACATGGACCAACCCATAGCTTTGCAGGGCGGTATCTGTAGTTTTTCGCTTAGTGCTGATATACGCCTTAATCACTGATGACACTCTACGTGCCAAGAGTGAATATATGGCATCTGTATGGGATAGTGTCTTATCAACCATGGCATGAATCATTTCACTAGTTTCTTTGTCATCCATCTTGTTCGTGCTTGCGCTATGGATCTCAGCCGCAAGATGCTGTACCGTCGTACCGGGTTGAGCCAGCAAAACAAATAGTTTCTGGGCTAGTTCACCATGGCACTGTTGGGGAACACCGAAATTGCGCGCCAGCATCAATAGAGCTGCGACAATTGTAATTGCTTGTGCTTCATTTTGATATTCTTGCAGCCGGCCGGTATCAAGGCGCAGTGTTTCCGGACATGGAGAAGAGTTAATCAGCTCAGAAGACATGATTAATGAGGTAACAGCTTCTACGTACACTTCTTGACGCGAAAGCAAGTTACTGTCGCATGGTATACCCTCTGGATTGCGCTGAGACGCCGTTTCTTGTAAACGAGTCGCAGCTTCACCAAGCCAGGCCTTCGTCTTTGGTAGTTCCGTCAGGCCTTGCTCCTTTATCGTCTCTGCAAATTTGTTACGGCCATACTCGACAGCGATAGGTAAAAGGCGAGGTCGGAGCGAGCGCAGCTGATGATTTGCAAGATCGAGTGTCATGTCTTGTAAAAGGTCGAAAATAAGGCGAAGTTTCGTGACGTTGTGGCTGCTATTGCTGCCACCAGTGAAATACCGGATTTCTCGGACAGCATTATCTCGAACGCTTGCACAGGATCGCTGGATCGCATCCAAGATGAACTCAATTATCTTGTCAAAGTCAAAGACATTCTGCTCGAGCTGCTGTTTGATCAATACCAAGTCGATTCCTTCGTTCAGTTCGGATTTGGTTGATGGATTAACAAGATTAGATAATCGCTAATATATTGATAGCTTTGCATTAATAAACTAGCTAATTATAGATCTTGCGTATTGAGTAATTAATATGTATGAAAAAATGCTTACATCACGGATCTCAGCAAAAAGTGGTGGTATGGCGTCGTTTGCGTCACCGTTCTCCAAATCTTGAGCAAGTTTATCAAAATACGCCCTCGTTGCAATATCCGCTACTTGGCGTTCGACAGACTCTTGTGGTGTCTGCCTCTGAAGTTTGAAATCTGGATCCAGAATTATCTCGTGTGCTAATCGCTCGTTTGTGAGCGCAGTTACTGATGGTACTGCAGTTTCGTTCATCATATGTTGTGCACGCTCATTGTTATCTTGTGCTGAATCATTTGACGGCCTGTACTTGTCTTCGTCGTCTGATATAGGTGGCGTTGGTGCTGATGCGACCGGTGATGATGCTACAGCTGTCACTTTTTGGTTTATTCGCTCCAGCGCTGTGCCGTCGATGGATATGATTTTTTGCTCAAGCTGTTTTAGCTGGCACTCGATCTCGTCGCATGCGTCGTCCGTCTCTGCAACATCGTACGCTTTACGTCTCAGGGTGTCTCGAATTTGTTGTAGCTCTTGATAATGGGCAATCATGCCGCATAACAACTGCTCTTTATCATTAGAGAGCCAGTTCTGGAATACGTTGACGTAGCTCGTCCAGAACGTACGCATTTTTGTGAGTGATGGTCGTCCTGCCGCATTTTCCGCATTGACCCAACCCTCAAAGTTGACAAGAAGCCGTTTGGCAGCTGCTCTCAAAAGCTTATAGAATGAAGGCAGTGACACAAAATGAGAACCCAACTTAGCGGCTGTACAAAGACGCTATGCATATGAATAGAAGTCATACCTTTCGCTGAGCAATCGTTGCTTCTTGTAGTATAGCACTCGGGCATGTAAGTATAACGTAAGCCGTCAAAAATACTCGTGCACGCCTGTGACGTTGACTTGTGTCTTTAGGTGCTGATAGAAACGTTTCCAGAACAGCTGCTGCAGTTGATATTGCATTTGGTTGAGATATGAGCTTGGAAAGGCTATCAAAATCGATCCATGTCGAACGATCAGAAACCCGTGGAAGTTCGGTTCGATAAAACGCCTCGACTACTGATTTATCAATTTTAGGACCGGATTCTCCTTCTTTCAGATTGCAGTTGCCATCGTGTGCTTTGGATATGTCGCTACTGCCTCGCTTGTTACTACAGCGTGTAGAGTGTTCTATTGTTTGGTTACAATTATTCATTGCGTGATAACAATAATAGTATAAACTTAAAATGAAAAGAAATCATCAGCAATGGCTATCACTTTACCATTTGATATAACATAAAGAATATGAGCTCGGTCAAAGGTATTTGACAACAAACAAACAACCGGCTATTTACAATTGAGAAACAAGATCGCAATTTATTGCATTTACGAAAAAACCTTTCCGTTATGTACACTAATAGAGCAGACATACATTGATATGTGATGTGATTTTCTGGACATCACACGGGACATACCGATGCTCCTGCTGTAAAATCACAACCCACTGGCGATTCGAGCTAAAGCCCATTGCTCTAGAATAGTAGTAACAAACAAATACGCTGTAATTTCTATGAGGTTTTTAGACGCACCGTAAATTTGTTACCGGAATACATCTGCCACATTCGATATGAAAAGTGTGGGACGTTCCTCGTTTGTATGACCACAGAGTGTCCTGCTTCATTTGGACTGTATCGTCTTATCGCCTTCCATATGTGAATACAACGTACTTTGAGTTTTTCAAAATAACAAGAGCCAACAGAGCTACGATGCAACAATGATGATAGCTTATCGAATATCAAAAACGAAAATGATGAGAATGGCAAGTTGATACAATGAAGAAGCTGAACATGTCGCCTTTGACAGAAGGGCAGAAGCAACTACCAATTTTGGTAAAAACGTCACAACAATATTTTCGGCGCTGCTGAACTCGCGAGGGTGGAACGGTTTGTTGCGCGATATCCAACCAAACAAAAAAAAATATCAACAATAATGGAGAAATCCTTTGCAGGTTTACTGCGTAACTCGCGATTAGCAAGCTATGATCGCAAATTAGGACAAGTATACGAAGTATCAAGAAAGAACCAGAAGAAGGGCAACTGGGGCTTAAAGCGCAACCTACCGAGTGTCATTCGTACCCCTTTTGTGACGATCGGTGATCTCGACACAGCCGAACACCAAACGCCATGGCAGTCTGGCACCAGCAAAGTCATGTTTGTTCGTCGATGGAAAGAGAATTTCCCCAACTCCAGAAGGCCTGCACCACGACCTGAACACGTCGATCACAACGTTGCATTAATGACGCCTGCTGATTTCAAACGCTTTGTTAAATCTGCCTCTAAACGTGCACCACAGTTCCAGCAAGAAATTAAAGACAAAAAGTTAAAACCGGAACAAGTCTACGAATACCTGGGCGCTACATTCAGCGACACACCTTCTACGAGCGTTGTCGGTCCTACATACAGCGAGCACGATGTCGGTATGAACTATCCAGTCGAGGGACGATTCCTCAATGTTGATCGACAAGGTTATGCCGTCGGTGTTGCTGGCATTGTTGCACTGTGCCAGAAGCGATACATGGACACTGTAAGATACCACGGTGACCGACGGCAACGGGTATTCTATGTCGAAGATGCTTCTATAGATGCTCAAGGACGACCTGCTGTCATGGTACGACCGAACCAGCCTGGATCTTCGTCTATCCCTGCCATCTTGGGCACAAATGAACGGTACACAGCCGGCTCAATGAACGCTAGCGATATGTTCAACACCTCACGATCCCGAACCCGCAACAACCCACCACGCGAAGAAAGACCTGATAACTCTCAAGAAAACCCGCACCACGAAGTGCTTATGGAGCAGTTCAATGTGCTAAAGAATTTGGAAAAGAAGAAGGATGAATAAATGTTTCGCATATTAGAATCATACAGTATATAATTTACATAAGGTTATGGTAACCCATCTACTAGTGGACAACCAGCTTTGAACAGTGATGGAAAAACAGGGTATATTGGCTAAAACATCAAACTCCAACTTGTGTTTGAGTTATGACAAACGAATTCCAGCGTCCGGCATAGCAGTCGACAGCTAACCCACTGTAGGCTGTGCATAGTCGAAACACGTCGTCGTATGGGGAATCCATGGTATCAGTAGATGTAGTTCGACCTAGTTGTTTGTACTGATCTAAGTGATTTCACAGTTAGGTTATGGATCAACTTTTGTCTTATGTGTATGCACTTACTGCTCCCGCATGTCCATATTCTCCCGTGATCTATTCTACGAGGTCAAGAACGATCGAAAATTTCACTTTTGTTCCTGTGAATAATTTTAGGTGCTCACCTACCGTCCAATGCCATCGTATGGTTTGCTCCGCATACAACCTTTACAACATGCACTTCAGCAGTTTCATTGTTGTCATCTCTAAAGTCTGCCAATCGAATTACGTCGTCGTCATTGTCGTCGCCGCCGCCATGACCATCATTATCCTTGCTTCCTGATCCCCAACCTAGACGACCGCCTTTTCGCCAGCCAAAAGTGTATAGCTCACCGTCCAATACAACCGCAGAATGGAATGGACTACAAGCAATACTAGCGCTTTGAGCGATTATTCCGCTGAAAAAATCGATTGGAACACACGCATCATCTTCGCCTTGTATTGTTGTATCAAATCCAAGTTGAGAATATCGGTTGGATCCCAGCGCATAGATCGGGTTAAATCCTTCTGTGGTATAGAAGAGTATATGAGAAAATGAAACGGCCATGGCTTGTATTTGTGGAAGATGAGTGAGTCTGCTAGCAGTACTAAACGTGGTGCTGTCCTCTTTCTGTTTCTGATAGCAATCAACGTAACCATTTTCTATATCCAACAAGTTGCTGGTCAGCATATACGTACTAAATTGTCTTTAGAATTCTGTACCTGTAAGCACGTATATCGCATCATGACTCTCGCAATAGTCAGCATCCTTGGCACTTGTCGTGAGCAGCTTCTTGGAAGCGCCGGCGCCGTCTTTAGAGCCGAAATAATAATGCCATACAGAACCACCCTGATCTATAACACCAACCCATCCATGTCCCATAGGGCCAAAGATGCGTTTGATAGCTCTGTTATCCCATAGTTTCAGTTCATTGTCTTGGTTCTCCGGTGTCCATCCCCAAATTTCAAGTCGATCGCCATCTATAACATAATAGAGGACGTAAAGCAGAAAAGTTTGATTAGGCGATTTGCTTTTTATTTTTTAAAAGATCTAGGCTTTTATCATACCTTTTGCAATTATAGTGGTTTCCCACGTCGGAAGAAGGACTTTGTCAACGGCGATGTGTTTATGACTGTCAATAGATTCGTCATCACTGGTAGGGGCGGTTTGGCTAAACGCGTTGAATCCGAAACTGAATAGTGAACGCGTTAAAGAAGTGGTAGTCATAGAAAGTGTAGGGGTCCAGTGGCACCACTGCTTTTTTTTGTAAGACAGTTTCTTTTTTATTTGTGGGCGGTGGGGGGGGAGTGAGTATTGAGGATAAAGGGGGGGGGTGGTGCGATCGGAAGGAAAATGCACATGACAACATCGATCGTAACAAAGCAATAAACGGAGGCAGTAGAAAAAAAAAGGGCTATCAGTATACTTCTGATGATGTGCTACTGTAACATTGTGTGTGTGTGTGTGTGTGTATCGCGTATCAGACAAAGCTTTGAACCCGCGATTGTATCACTTGCTTGGCATAATATTTGGAGATGGCGACGACGACGATAATAGTAATAAACAACACAATGACAGGTTCAGGCCATTCGTCGGTTCGTCGTGAGCAGGATGTGTGTGTGAAGTTGTTTGGATGCAGGACATCGAGACATTACTGAAGATGGTATGAATGACGAAGAATGTCTACCGCATGCTCTTTTTCTTCTTCTTCTAATTGCCTGCTGCTGCAGGAGCAGGAGGCCAAGGTATAATAAGAATGAGCATGATGACTGTTTGCTTATTTAGTGCCTTTTGGTGTCACGCTTTCTCACAGTATGGTTCCTGTTGAAAACGAGTAGACGCATGACTGTCACTGGCAGTAAAAAAGAATTATTCAAAAATAAAGCTGATCTTCGCTGCTGCAAAGGCTAACGCGAGATGTTTAGCCTACAAAATGTGCGTGCATTTGTTTATAGGCTGAAGCTTGTTAGCAGTGATTTAGTGTGTGATCCCGTGCATGAGCTTTTAAATCACTTGGCGAAAGACAAAATAGTCGGGGGAGGGGTGGGGGGTTACTTGGCAGAGAAAGGGAGCCCGCGTTCTTCATTAACAATGCAAGGAAACCCATTGTAAGCAATTCAGCTGCTGTTATGTTCTAGTGCAATCCTGGCTGGAAAGTAAAGCACAACAGACAGCCCGATATGGTTTAGCTGCATTTGCATTGTACAAGGCATCCGGCAATCACTAAGATGCTCTCTCTCTCTTCTCTCTCTCTCCATTGATACCAATGACACGACTTTGTTAAGTGAGGCCACTTCAATGTACACAAAAGCTTGTCAAACCACCATTTTAGCGTCGCAGGTGATGCCCTTCCGTTCCCACAATGGCGGATTCTATAGCCTCCTATACTTGATACATTCGATGGTCCTAAGGAAAGACCGCAGCAAAAAGATATGAAAAAGGGTTGGGGGGTGGGTGGGGGACTGCTTTGGGGGTGACGAACAAGATGGAAAGACAGTCTAACCTATTTCCATGATTCCAGTACGTCAAATGCACTTTGTTGTTCTGCTTGCACATATTTGTTTGTTGCCTAGCACTGCCAATAACAAACATCTATAGCAACGGTGTAGATGTGTGTACAACCGATAAGCTACGAATCTTGTTGCATGGTGATGGACATTAAGTGTTATCTAAGCAACCGTTGTCATCATCTACTGTGTATCACAAAGTACCCACGGGCCAGTCTCTATGCAACGTTGGGTTCCCATTGGCAACGTCCTACCATTGCCTCCTAGACATGCTCTGGATCCTGCCGCCAAACATGTTCAGAAGAGCAAAGAGGTGGTGTGGTGGTGCAGCTCTCATAATATGATAAGCTTTCTTTAAATGACAGCAGTGGCAGTTCAACGTGCAGCCACTGCCATTTGTATGTGCTTGGTACTGCAGTTGCGTTAATTAGAAAATTCAACGTTTATCGTTGCTCTCGTACTATTTTGAAAATCTAGCGAGTAGCTGCGAATCACCCACAGAATATGAGATCAGCATTGTCAAGTTCATGTGCTTATAGATTGTTCCATCACCTTGTTTTTCAAAGAAAGACGTCGTATGATAAAGAACAGCGACCCAGGTGTGCGATTAGCGGCGACATCCTATTTGAACAATCGAGAAACTTCCAGACGGGTTCCCAAAAAAGAAGATTGATCGCGACAGAAGAAAGACGACCGATCATAATACGACTTTCTTTTCTTATAGTTTGTAGGCCCCCCCCCAAAAAAAAAAAATAAAATAAAATAAAATTCGTCAAGGAGTAAACAATCCATCAATAGCTAGATGCTATTTCGGGACTAGCACTCTTTCCCTCCGAGCCTTACACACATATCAGTAGTCCTTTCTTTCGAAATAATACATGGCAAGAAAAAAAAAACAGTTCTGAAATGACGTAAGTAAAACCAGCGCCAACAACGGAACAATGCGCAACACATATACAGCAAGTTAAAAAAACTTTATCCTGGGTCGATCATATAAAAAGAATGCATCTCACCAGTCTTTGTGTCTTCCCTCTTTTCTCCTTCCATTCTCATACGACTTATAATATAAGGACTAGAAAAAAAGCTACAACTCTTCTTTACGTGCAAATTGCCCTTGCTGGCATACCGAACCTACACTACCACTTCACACCCGCAAAAGATTAACTACGACGAATAAGCCAACTTTATAACAACATATCAGCACACTATGCAAGAAACCGCCATTCTATATGATCCGAACGACTCTGGCCATATTGAAGTCAGAGACTTATTAAACCGTTGCAAAATTCCGCAGTATTTGGAACACTTTCTTAATGAAGGATTCGACTCTCTGAAATCGGTACGACACAACGAGCAATATGAACGAAATAAACTACAAAAAACGTGAAAGTGTTGTCTTGAACTGCCCAAATATAGCATTATTCATTGACGTTTTCCGTTATTTATTATAAACGATGAATTGCACCGTTAGCTATGCGAAGTGAGCGAAGACGACATGATCGCCATGAAGGTTAAGCGTGGTCACCGCAGGGTATGTACGTCATATCGGATATTGGGTTAACCAAACTCGGGGACCCCGTTCTCGATTAGGCTTAGTTGCCTATCACTTATTTTTAAGGTTTAGACTATTCACACACACGCACACACACAATGCTGTGTTTATTATTATAGCTAATACAGCGCGAAATCGCAACATTAAAGGGGATCCCGCGCCATGAACCATTATGGATAAGTCGAAGCGGTGCTGTCGCCAACTCCCGTTCCAACGGTAACTCGATTGATACATCATTTTTTTCTCAGACTTTTTTTTTTCTACCTTGGTAAAGCAAATTATCTTACAGATACTATCTTACTCAGTGCCTCTTCTCTCGCAAGCTACAACCACAACGTCGAGTGACAGCAGCAGCACAAGTCGTCAAGCGAGCGGGGGCAACATCACTTCAGCAACAAACTCGAGCGGCCGTTTGCAGCAAACAGGTAACACCACAGCAACCTCGGTTTCTGATCAACAAAGCAACAAGCCGCATCACCATCACCGGTCGACCATTCGTACCATTGGCGATCTGCCGACCAACAAGGGCAGTGATTCCTCAAATGACGATTCTGCAACCACGACAACCATGGGCTATCAGACCATGTTGCCACCCAAACGACGGTATCGCCGACATCCCAAACCGGATCGAAACGCTCCCGTCAAACCCCCGTCTGCGTATGTCATGTTTTCCAATGATCTGCGCGCCGAGCTCAAACAGCAGAACTTGACGTTTGCACAACTTGCTAAAATTGCTGGTGAGCGATGGAAAGCACTAAGTGCAACGGGGAAGTCCCGGTACGAGACAACTGCAACAGAGGCTAAAAATGCATACCTTGTCTCACTTAACCAGTATCGCCAAACGCCTGAATTTAAGGTACACCATCAAAAAATCGTCTTTCTATTATTCTTTTTTGTAGCAGGTTTAATACACGAGCAACTCCTACGTCCACTACAATACGAGTATATAAGCTTACTCAATACGAAACGTTTCTCTCAGCGGTACCAAGAATATCTCAGCGATTTTCGGGCAAAGCATGGACCGTATAGGATCACCGGAGGGGCGAGGAAAAGGTTTAAGGCCATCGGATCTCCCGGAAGGTACGTGCTCTTATTTCTTGTCCATAAACAACTGGAATATCTCAAGTATGTACACTTATGTTTTTCTTCGCTTTCCCGCGGTCTTAGTGGTAGCATGGCCGATTCTAGCTCGAACGGTAACAGCAATGGACTCGGAAGTTCTTCAGGTAGTAGCGGAGGATCAGCTGACGGTTATTATTACGACAGCAATGGCAACGATGCACCGGAACAAACAAAACTGCCAAATGCTGCTGCTGATGAAAATGATGACTCTGCTGTGGTTCGTGGGTTTTTCATACAAGATGAGAACAACAACAAGTCCAGCAATGATTCCTGGCCTGAAGATATTCATGATTCTATTGCTAGTTTCACCACACTCGCCTTCCAGTCATCTATGACAACCCGGTTACAGTCAACGACAACCGACCCCGAAGTTACCCCTGAACCAGACAAAGTTATTCATGGTAAGTTACCATTGCTGTCATTGCTTTTAAGTTAAAACCGAGAACTCGGTCGACTTTAATTAAATCTCGTCTCTCTTTTTTTTTTTTTTTGCTATGTTGTATCTAGACTCGTGAATGATGCATCAACAACGGTAACACTCCGGTTCCCAACACTAACCACTCCCCTCAACTTTTACAAAAAGCAAACGATCTTGTATCATAACCCTCCAAGTAACACTCTTTTATCTCAAAAAATTGTCCATACCATCAAAACGTAAATTGACCACCCTACACGATAGACTCATGATCTTCACATCACATATTCCACACTTACTTCATAACTAAGGTTGCATCAATACCAGTATATAACACAGAGATATTATGTCCTATACTATATGCTTTTTTATGCCCTTTTCTTCAACTCTTTTTATATGTTCGTCATTAAAATTTTATAGGCAGGGGATTACATATACATGTCCATATTTACCAAAGTAACACTACATATCTTCGTCTATAAAGAAAGAGTCTAAGCTTCCTTGGAAGGTTCCTACTGAGGATGCCCTCGAATCCCTGGTTTGTTGCTTCTTCTTGACATCATCAGATGCTACTGTGATCGGCTCGTCGTCATGGTCTTTTGGTGGTGGTGTCAGTTTTGGGGATTCATTTATGTCCAATTGTACGAGTGTTGGAGGTTCAGTTATGGTGTGACTTCTGGTTGGTGGTTCGGATAAAGGCATGGTTGGTTTAGAGGATGGTTCTTCCGACAAACGGCGTCGGGAAGGTAATTCGGTCGTAAGTGAGCTTCTAGGTCGAGTAGGAGGCTCTGCTGAGGCACGGCCTGGTCGAGGCGACGGTGTTTCATCCGGATCTTCGAAAAGAGTGCTGGACGAAGGGACTGGAATTGGCCTGTGAGGGTGTGTGGACATGCTAGAAGACCTGGCAAGATCTGCTGTCGTCGTAGATGAACTTCTTCTCATAAAGGACAGCAGTGTACGTCTGCGTGCGGGTGGAGAAAACTCTTGGTGCTGCTGCTGCTGCTTATGGTAATAATCATCCGACTTTTCCTTATGTTCAGCACTATGTATGCTTTCACGAGTAGGTGTAGTAACTTGCGTTGACGAGATTGATGACGCAGTTGATGTTGACGAAACTTCAAGTGACGGCTCCTTGACCGAGGAGTTGTTCGTAGATGTCGGGAGAGCAACGATAGCACGTCTATGAGCATACTCTTCATGAGCCTTGATAGCATCGTTCGAAAAGACAGTTTCGACGTTGCTAACCAAGTCTCGAATAAGCTTGTACGGATGCCGGTCGTGCAGATTTAATGTGCTTTCGACCTGTGGTCGTATCAGCACATGACAAAAACTCACAGCAAGATCATGTAGCATCTCTTCTGTTTCAGTTTTATCGCCTTTTGCTTCTGCTATTAATCTACAAATATAGCATCACATCTCAGATATTGTACCAGACATTTTTTTCGGTCCTTTTCCTGTTTTTACCTGTGAAAATGCTCCAATAGTGCTTTTAGGGTATAAAAGTTCGATGATGGTAAGGTGGTTAATAGCTTTCTAACAGAAGCCATACGTGCAGCTTCATCAAGATGCTCTAATAAATTGTGTAAATGAAAACGCTTAGCAGCTACAATAACAACAGAGAGTACGTTAAATCACTTATCAATGCGGCACTATAGACTTACGATTGGTATATAAAAGTTTGATGGGGTCATATAACTCAAATGTCAGTAGACATTCGGGTAGCTCCATAAGATATAAACGTATTAAAGATGCTAACACCATCACGTCATATCGTTCTAGGTTTTGGTTCATCAAAACAAGAGAAAGTGATGGCATGTTCAACTTGTCTCGGGCTTCATGTGCTTGATCCAGTTGGATTTCTGTAGTCCACATTTTCGTTCGCTCTAGTAAATATGTTTCGATATATCAGTCAAATGTTACTCGGACAGGGTACCATGTGTCTCGCTACCTTCTTTGTAGATTTGTGAGAAACCTAGCAAATTATTTTCCATTGAATTTAGTATTTCCAGATGCTTTTAATTGGGAAGAAACAAAAAAACCAAAACCATTATTATGCAGCCGTAATACTTTAACAAAATTACTTACTAGATTCAATTGCTGAAAGACCTTGTGAAACTATTGGAGGTACAGCCACCTTATGGATTTGTGCATACTCTTCCAACGGTACACCAAAGATTTGATCTGTTATATGTAATCAATCGTATACCATCGACTATGTTTTTAGTAATGGATAGAGTTGATGAAAGTGTTATTAGGAATATTTGACTTTCTCTTACCCATAGCAGCACCGTGAAAATAGTTGATATATAGAAGCGGACGTGGACAAAATCGCCCAGTGCGGTACTGTTCAACAATAAACTGTACATCCTTGTCTGGTTTCAATGTTTCTTGATACAACATCATCCGATCATAGAGCTCTTTGTAAAACGGTATTGAGTTGGAGAGTATGGCAGCGGTGCTCACGAATGCTACATAATATACACCATCAAGGGTGAGTGCTATGAGCACAACTTATCACGTAGTAGCTAAGTACAATGTGGAGCATACCTTGTTTTATTGTCTGTATGCGCTCGAGCTCGAGACTTTCCATTTCCTCATAGTGAGAGAACTAAATATACAAGATTAATGTTGATTCTTGCACATCCCTACCTCTCTCCCAGTTAACATGACTTTTACTTACCAATGCCTCTTCTGTTTCCATTCTTATGAGATCCACTTCTTTGACACAGCTGCGATACACTTTGTCTGCATGATCCATTTCTTGAATCGCTCGGTAGCATGCATCTTCTATCGAGCCATTATTGGATCGTCCCCAACGCCCAAACAGTGAGCCCATTCCACTTGATGTAGAATCGAATGATTTACTTTGCTCGGCGAGATATTCCGAGTAAGATGTGCCCGGCATGCCGATCGTCGGATACTCAACAGTATATCGAGCATCTTTGGAAAAGTCGTTCGAAGGAGAGTAGGAGGCGACGGAAGAGGAAGAGGAGGCAGTGGCAGATGACGGTCTCAAATATCCTTGGACGAGAAGCGCCTGACAGAGTGTGACCGAGTCTTTCTCTGGATCGTCGAACATCGGACCAAGATCGATAGTAATTGACCAGCCACTCACATTGCTGTGGCGTGAGGAAACCTCATCCTGATTTTGCTGAGATTGTTGAAGTATATGCTCCACAATGGCTTGTCCACTTAACCCATCCAACTGTTCCAAAATCCGAGATAGTTTTTTGCGCGTAAACATCCAGTCATGAACCCAAATAGGGTCGTCTGGGTGCTTATACTCTGGGCATATCCCTTGCAATGCTCGACATTTTTCAACATAGGTTGCGCTCGCTTGATCCAGCACCTTGGCAGAGTCGATAAACTGTGTAATCTTGTCATCCATCATTTTCTTGGCTTGTGTGACGATGCGCTTATATCTGCTGGAGAAACGTCCTAGCGGATCAAGTACAGTGTTTGTCAAGTTGTTGCCGCGCTGTCGGTGTGTGTTGGCAGAATCGCTGCTTTCTGCGCGTACGACTTCGAAGCATTTCTTGAGCCCGGCTCCAATGTCTCGATCGAACGCTTTGTCATTGCTGCTGCTTGTTGTCGTTGCTGAGTTAAGCGATTGTTGGTCGAGAGCAGTCAATTGGTTGGCGTACGTCTGCTCGACAGCTGCTCGTTTTTGAAGGTAGTCGGCGATCACCTGATTTTCTTCAATGGATTGTTGAAGCTTTTGATGAAGGACAATGAGTCCGTGAGAAAAGTCTGGAATGCCGTTTTGTGAAGCATTGGGTGACCAAAAGGAAGCGTAAAATGGGTAACGGTGATGATGCATTTGATATATAGACAAAGGGAACAAAAAGCGAAAAAATATACTATTAGGTAAAGGTGTATATTATAGTTATGAAGCGGTTATGCTGAGAAAAGAAAAGCATTTCATGCGTTTGCTGTGCACTGCCTGCCTCTTTTGGAGACTAGTAGGCTGGTCAGTGTTACTCGAAAGTCAGTCAGCTCATCTTACTTCTCAAGGGAATCACCCCAGTTATTGGAATGTTTATAGAAAAGTTGATTTTTTATGGCCAAAACAAATGTCTTTATGTATGACAAAGCCTACCAAGCATATGCGCTTACTGTAAATATCCACTAATGCCAGTGGCGATGCACAAGAAGACTGTTGTCAGATACACAAGTTCATCAAGCGGAGCGGATTTATGAATGCGTGTTTTAAGTCTGCACCAGCAGTGTATCGAAAGTACGTAAAAGCAAAGTGAGCTGTATTCAACCGTCCGCTTAGTACTGTGTATAGCTGTTGAATAAACATCGAGTGCGTGTTATGGTGCATAGTATTATATACAAGCTTGCTCCATGGCATTGATACAGAGTCCACGACTAATTAAAGTTAATTTGATTTTGTTGTCATGACAACATAGTTTCATCCCGCAACAAGTTGCCATACCTTGCACTACATGATCTGTTACGACCATCTTCACGCTTGATTCTCTACACCATATAAAAAAGCTCTGCTTGTTATTAGCAGAAGCATATACGGATTTAATAGTTAATCTGTCAGTTTCATATATAATTAGAAACGGTATTAATTATTTTCAAGTTTTTAGACCATTTTACGTTTTACTAACATTTTCTGATCATCAAGCGGTAGCTTTTGTAAGTTAGTAGAGATATTCCGCAATACAGTGATACAATTATGATCGTCAAACACCACGGTTTAGATACGATAATCGTTTGTCCAGTCTCACGCAAGTTTTTTAAGAAAGCGTTGATGTTTTTCTGTAGTGTGCTGTGTGTGTGACACGAAATCAGTATGTCGCTTAGCAAATGTTTATCGATGCTTTTTAGGTGCCTCACGCAGGACAGCACCCCTTTGCCCAGCATTTTGAAGCCCGCTTTTGCTTATGAACAAGCGCGGCACCTACATATCTTCTACAGCCATACCAACACTTTTTTTACCGCAACTCTTTTCTTCTTCCTCTCCTTCTTTTCAATTAAAAAGCGGCCTTGCAGTAATTGTGTTTGGTTCCCTAGTCACTTTCTAATCTTCAAGCCCTCGATTCATAAAGCCCCCATAATGGATGCGAGGTCACAGTCTGTCGAAGACTTTGACCGCGAAAGCAGTAGTAGCAGTAGCACCAACACCGACAACAACCATCTCGCACCTACTTCCATGGAGCGGACCAGCAGTACAAACACCATAAAGTTTCGTAACAACTACGATGCGCTGTTAAAAGAAGTGCTAGAAGAGACTTCTGAAGACGAAGACGAAGACCTTTTAAACAACATTGACATTGACATTGACATTGATACCGCTACAGCCGAACTGCCTGACGAACTTCGTGCAGCACTGGAAGATCGGCAAATTGCGGACAAGTATCTCGCTACTCTCAAAAATTATATGAGCCATCGCCGATCGCACTCACTTGGCTCAACCACCAGTCTCAAGGGCGACTACTCGAGGTGAGTAGTAAGAAAGTGCGAGGAAGGAGCGAGGAAAACATGTATGCGTGGTGATAGTGTGCAAGAGAGTGAAGGACCGACCGACATAACATTTTCTTATATAACAACTCACTATTTATGCAGCCCCAATACCCCGATACAGCCAACGTTTTCGCATCATCAACAGCCAAAACCATTTTTTCGTGCACAACCCGACCCACTTTCTAGAATTCTCGATGCTGTGCCTTATCATACCCGTCTTGTCAATGGTGTCCAACCCTTGACCGTACTCGAGCAAAAGTTTCATGCGCTACGTATTCCCGAACTTGATTTACCAACCGTCGCGGACGGCATTATCCAATCGCGTCTTGGCGACCTATACAAAATACAAGACGAACTTAATATCCACCTACACGGCGGTCCGCTCGTGAAAAATACCAGCATGGCGTATAAGATCGGTGAAAAGAAGAAGCATAAAGTCATGAATCTACTGGATGAAATTAGCAAAGAAATAGGCCTCTACGAAGAATTTGTAAAGCGAGGTAAGTGACTTACTTCTTGGTCGTCCCAGCTCCCACCGCTTCGTCCAGATTGTCAGTTATAAGTATTGATATATTTCTGTCTTCATTCAGCACACTATTTGACGCTGGAGAGTATTTTGAATGAAGTGGATAGTGGTGATGAAGAATATTACCCTGAGGATAATGAGACTATGTTGACCGATTCGAGTCTGAATCATTTCGTACGTTTTATTAGTCTCTTGATCGGCATCTTTCTGTTGCATGGTATTTTAGTGAAAGGCATATTGGGATATTAATTATACGCTGTCAATAGGAATCGTCTTCGGATATATCACGCGCAACACCAGGCACTCCGGTTTCACCAGCAACATTCTCGCCTACACCTTCAGCTATCACATCCAAAACGCCTCGACGAATTTCATCTAATCCAGCTCTCTCCTTATCGGCTGAGCAGCAAGCAAAACTGACTAACGCAGTAGTCATGCGATCCGCTTCTGAACAAGATAACCGAAGTGTATCTCGACAATCTTCAGAATTCGGTACATTTGCTTCTGATCGATCACCTTCTGTATCGCTTAATGTTGAGGATGTCGAACCTTGGGAGGCATTTAAATGGACGTCCCTTAAAAAGATATCGGATCAATTGTATGCTGATGAGATGAGACGACATAATGGCCTTGTATCAGTAGTAGCCGTAAGTTTCATCGTAATAAATGTTCTAATTGGGAATACTTGCTCACCGATTGTCTCTTTCTAGGTAAGCGGCGTAATAGCAATTGGCACTACTCGAAGTTTGGTGTTCGTGTATGACTATTCGCAAAACTTAAAGTGTATTTTGGGCGACAGTGCACGGGGTATGTGGATGTTAGTGCTGGAGGAGGGGAAAAAGAGATGCATACTAAATAGCATGTGAAACATAAACATAGCTGTGGAGATCGGCTCCGTGACATCTCTGGCAATATCTGCAGACCACACAACAATCGCTTCTGGCCATAGTCAGGGCTACATTGTAGTGTGGGATATCAACAAGCCTGCCAATCCAGTTCGAATCATCGATCCAATACCAGCCAGCCAGGCAACAAAGTCATTAAATGCTCAGCAACATCAACAACAACAAACGCTACGAAAAGAAGGTCATGTTAAAGGAGCAGCGATTCTTCATATCGGATTTGTTGGTGTGAAAAAATCCGATATTGTATCAGGAGACGACCAGGGCATGGCCTTTTACCATGTATTATACAAGGTTGTAATGGTAAATGCTGTCGACACTACGCGTATCCTCGGTCGGTATCAGAACCTTTCATTTCCTGGACTGGACAATGGAGGCATGGGCGAAATGCCAAAGCCGAGAAGACCCAGCACCGTGTTTGCCATGCAGCCGCTGCCTTTGGGTCAAATAGCCCATCCCGCAGAAAATTTTGGTCTCGTAGCTTTGCTTACGCCTTACAAAATGATCATTGTTGGTCTCAAACCGACGCCTCAGACCCAGTACAAATATTTGAAACCTAAAGGCGCTCCAGCAATCACAACCTCGTCGACCGCCGAGAATAACAACGACCATCCAGACGCTGAATCCAGGCAACAACAATCACAGCAACAGCAGCAGCAAGAAACGAGGGACGAGCAATTTGGCAACAAAACGCCCAGCGAGAATCTCGCGGGATGTCTGGCTTGGCTTCCAGTGATGAAATCGGATATATCAGGCGAGTCAACTGGCGTCAAAGGTAAGCTACTAGGCCAGTAAAGATGAAAATCTTGAGATAAAGAAGTATGTTAATGATCTTTTGCAAATAGATAAGGGTGCCAAACCTACTACCGCACCTAATGATCCTATGCTGGCTTTTTCGTGGGGAAACCATCTACTTATTCTTCGCGTCGGAATCGAGAGTCCAGATGGCCCCCATGCGCCGGTTCGAGGTGCTCGCAACACAAGCAGTAATAAGAACAAGCGTGGAAGCAAGCTGGAATTTGTAAAATATGGCGAACACAAATGTCGGGACGTGATTGTCGGTCTGCAATGGATTAACAGACAGGTACGTTCCTAGGGGCCCCTGACAGAGCTTCTTTTTCTCTCTTTTCCAAATATACTTATGCAAGCACATAGATTTTGGTTCTTATAACACCCAATGAAGAGATGATACTCTTTGATCCGAAAAATATGGTTGAGACCGAAAGAGCCAGTATTCGAAACAAACAACTTGTCTACCATGATCGTTTTAATTCACCGTTGGGCGACCTGGTGACCGAAACTACTACGGCTCCTGCTCAAACGCAGCAACTTCAACAGCAGTCAGGTCTTGGTATCAATGACGTGTTTACGCCATACAGGACTGTTGAAATGGCATACTATCATTCGATAAGGGCCTATAAAGGAAAACTTTTCTTATTGGTAAGTGAGGTTTACGTTGCTGATGAAAGAGTTTCTCTTATCAACGTGCTTCAAACATGTTAATATTCCCTTGAATTTTCAAAGGGACTGAACAAACTTTATATCGGTGCACTGCTGTCTTGGGCAGATCGGATAATTGCTCTTGTTCGCGCTGGCGACTTTTTAGAAGGCATTGAGCTTGCGACACTCTTCTACAACGGCAGATATACCCAGACCGTTGTTGGTTTACCCGAAGACGAGAAAGCTCGCAAGTACACGGTGGGCGAGAAACTGAAAGAGCTATTGGATGCATCCCTGAACTATACTTTCTCACCTACACGAACGTACGAAGGTATGGCTGACGAGGCTGCTGATGGCGTCGGTGGCGGCGGTGGTGCTGTCTTATTCAAAGACCTTGCCTCTGGATGCACAAAGGCGTGTCTCTCGATGGATAATCTGGAGTACTTGTTCGATGTGGCCTACGAACGATTTGTCGAGTCAGATGTGCGTGGTATCTTCCTCGAAGTCTTGGAACCGTATATTCTGCAGGACAAGGTATCGGATATTCCACCTGCTGTCATGAAGGATCTGGTGAACCATTATTGTTCCAAACGCATGTTGGCACAGCTGGAACAAATTATTTGGCACGTGAACCCACAATGTCTGGATATCGATCAAATCGTAAGCGTCTGCCATCGAGAAGGACTCTATGAAGCAATGATGTATGTATGGAACAGAAGCATGGATGACTACGTCAGCCCTGTGGTGGAAATGCTCAAAGTGATTCGATCCGTGATTAAAGATGAGAGCACAAGGCTTGCCGTGTCCCAAGAATTCAATCATTATCCCACCGGTGAGCGCACGCGTCTCACGAGTGCTGCTAGTGGTAGCACAATGGAGTTGGTTGTAGACGAGCCAGAGGAGATCACAACTAGTCCTCGGAAAAGTGCAGAAAAGCTGTTTGACTATTTCAAGCTTATCCTCACAGGACGGACATTCCCGGATGGCTTACCCATGGCTACTTCAAAAGCAAACGAAGCACGAAGCGCTGTTTACTCTTTCGTGTTCTCCGGACGCTGTGTCATCTGGCCAAAAATTGGTGGTAGTCTGGTATTAACTGCGGACGACGATGATCAAATGTCCGAGCCAACATACCCGTACCTACGTCTACTTCTACGATTTAGCACCAAGAAATTCTTAGAAGCACTGGAGATCGCATTCGAGGATCCATGGCTGAACGGCGGTGAAGATATTTTGACTTCAACATTAGAGGAGGATCTGCAAGGAAAGGTCATTTCGCGCCAAATCATTGTGAACACCCTTTTGGACGTCATGGGAGGAGGACACTCAGGCAACGGACTTCCACTTCCCCCTCCACGACCAAAACAGTCGATATCCGCATCGACCGTGCACTCTTTCAGCAACCACGGAACGAGTTCGACCAACACGACAGTGGATCGCGAAAACGAAAGCCTAATACAGCTTTATATGTTTATCGCTTCCAATCTTCACAAGTACACGACATTTATCCTATTACCGCCAACCACACTGCATAACATTCTTGTCCGTTTATCTGACGATCACGACCCCAACACACGACAAGAGCGCCAAGCAGCCGTTCAAAGTCTGCTCACAGTATACAAGCCCATGAATCCGGATCAAATGGTTTCTTACTACGAAGATGCAGGGTTCTGGCAAGTTTTGGAAAGCGTTTATCGACGTGAAAAGAAATACGGCAAGCTCGTAGAGGCGAATCTCAAGGATGATGAACGACGGACAGAAGTTTTTGATACCGTGTACCGATTGCTGGATGAACGATCGGATTTGAATGACAAGAAGCGAAGCGAAGTCAAGAGCATTTTCATGATCCGGATATCACAGTTCGTTGAAATAGACGGACAGAAAACAGCTGAGATCGTGGAGGCGTTTTTTAACAGCAGCCATGAGGAGGCTGTTCGTCGGTTAGAAGAAGATCAAGAGTTCGACGACGAGGAGTATCACGACACGGCCAATCAACGTGTCTTCCTGTACCTTCGCGGCTTACTAGAACCAGCTACAGACGTGGACGAGATGGAAAAGGCAGCAGCGACCAACAAGGTGTATGCGCCTCCGGCAATACCTAATGTCAGCACATCCATCCACGAACGATATCTCGAGCTTATGTGCCGCTTCGACCCCTCCGGAGTATACGACTACCTCAATACCAAGCTCGTGAATGACGTGAATCTAGACGCTGTGCTAAAGAGCTGCGAAGAGTACGAAGTCATTGATGCGGTGGTATGGATTATGGAAAAGAGCGGCAATACTCAAGGCGCGTTGGAGAAGATGCTCAGTGTAGCAAAAGAAAAAGTAGAGGCGATACTACAGATAATTCGAGATCACACTCATGCCAAGAGTGTGTGGACGTTTGAAGAGCAAGGTGTTGTCAGCAGCTGCCTTATCGGCTTAAATGGCGTACTACGAGTTGGAACACGATTATGCGAAAACAGCAGCAACAGCCACTCTGCTGCCGACGAACACGACGATCATGTCGAGTCGCTATGGTTCCGCCTACTTGATTCATATGTCGAGTCTTCAATCGAGGTACTTAATGCGCTGACCGCAGCAACTAAACCACGAGGGTTACAGCAACACATTGTCTCGTCCTTCAAATCGTTGGTACAGTCCATCTTAACGCATCTCCTACTATCGACTTCTCCACAAGTATCGTTGCCACGGCTATTGTCAAGGCTCATCGAGTCTCAGGCACGAGGTGAAAACACCTTTGCAGATTTTCGCGATATCTTCCGAAGCATGCTGGACACGTACAAATACGAAGGAAAACTCCTAGAAATGACCAATCGACTTTTTGACCGAGATCTCTTCAAAGGCGTTGAAGATATGGTGCGCGGTAAAGGACGAGGATGGCGGCCACGGCGCGCTGTCTGCGACATCTGCGGTGAAGGTATCCTCGATATCTCGCTTTTGGAGCAACCATTGGCTTGGAATCTGGATGATGATGAAGACGACAACGATGAGAGCAAGGTTAAGGTCATTGAAGATGCTGGTAAAGACGGTGACGACGCGGATGCCGAAAAGTCAGGCAAAGAACAGCCGCTAGATGTACAGAATAATAGGGATATCATGGTATTCCGCTGCACTCACGCCTATCATCGACAATGTCTCGAGTCAACGCGACAGTCAAGTGGCGAGGATCGATGGCAATGTGTTATCTGTCACCATGGCGAAACTGCAAAAGAAGACCAGCAACAAGTGCGACTGCAGGAACAGCAGCAGCGACAACAGCAAAGCAATACCGATGAAGAAGTACAAGAGCAAGTCCAGGAACAAGAGCCACCACCGCCACCTAAAAAGGAGAGCAAGGGGAAGGAGCGTGCAGTAGTATCACCTCATTAATTTGTAATACCATGTCTATATGTATACCGTTTGTTTGGTTTGTTTATACTTGAAAAGAGTGTTTACAAGAACATAGAAGAATCTAGTAGTCTAAAGAATTATGCATTCAAGGTGTGTGCGCGTGTTGTGGATGTTTAATGGGGTTTAGCAGGGGAGGGGGAGGGTGTTGTTTTTTTACAAGAGGGGGATAAAATGAGATGGGTGGAATTGTGAGTGTGTGTATTTGTAGTAGGAAGAAGAAACGTGTGTTAATGTGTGCAGTTGTGGGATGACAAAGAAGAAAACAGTTGTACAGATGAAATTGAGAAAAGATAAAAAGTAAGAAACAATTGACAGGATTATTTTGGAAGAAGCTTTGCTGCTACCTCAGAGGGTGGCCACTCCCCTCGGTTCCGCAATGCTTCTTCCACATGCAAGATTTGTTCATAAATAACGAACATGACGGCGCTCTGCAAACTGGTCCAAAACACCCGCGGTCCAACGCCTCTAAATAAGCCGCCCAGCCCATGGTTTTTATAGTTCCACATCATGCCTTCGAGAATGCCGCTGTAATGCTTCGGCCCCATCTGCTGGTTATTTGAGGGACCGGTACTTGATGGTGGGTTATTTGAACCTGATCCGCCTTTCTTCTTGCTTTGCTGTGTCTGTAATAACGTCTTCATAAGATCTAACGGTGTTGTTATAGCGCCGGCAAGGCCGCCTGCCATCGAACCCGTCAATAAGTCAACGCCGATGGGTAAGTGTTCGCCATCGTACTGCTTTTTAGCGAATTTTTTGAATTGTTCTATTTTACCCCCCCATCCTTGATTAGTACTATGTCCGTAGCCTTAACCGTATCGAATCCAACCAACAGCCCAATGACTAACCATAACATGCAAACTGTAAAGCGGAATAGGGAACGTCGCGAAGAATTGTAGCAGTGAATCCATGGAACAATGCACCGAATCCATCGTATTTTACAATCTATTTACAAGAGTGTCAGTATCATTACTATGCAAGCTCCAATTTCAAAATCCATATAATTCATCCCCTTCTATAGACCCTATCCATATTTCCTCGAAGGATTGTTATACTAATATCGTATATAAACATACCACTTTAGTTGCATGCCAAGTGCCTCGGTAGTTGTACCCACTTATAAAATGAGGGTTGTTATATCGACCTTGGAGTTGCATACGTGTTTTCAAGACTTCAGAAGGGACGTAGAATACAGATGCCAAAAGGTCGCCAAGGGAACCAGCCGTCAAGTGAGAAACCACTTCTGGCACATTATAACCTGTCAAAGTCCGTTTCGTAAATTCATAAGCGCTGAAATAAAGTGTTGTCGCAGGAACTAAAAGCAGTACACATGAGATACGTCATCTGAAAGTTTAGTTTACGTATGTTTATACTTGTTTAGTGGACCTCTCTGGTAACCCCTAGTCTCAAGGCCCATACTCAACAAAGACAAAGAAAACAAAAACTCACGAGATCCGAGCATAGCAGGTGTAATGCCTGCATACAGTCCTCGTAATACACCTTCTTCCTTCCAAATGAGTCTGTATGCTTGCACCATGTTGTGGTATTTTGAAGGTCGGTGATGGGGTTGTCCTTGCACACGAGTTTTAACGGTATCTACGCTATATTTGTACACATGAAGTTAATTTCTCTGCTTAATATTCCTCTCACTCTGATCGACAATACCTGTGCATCATGAAATCGCCAGAAGCGCCACCGATCGCACCAGCAACAATCGTCTAAGAAAACGCGCGTCAGTTGAGTGTTTGCATAAGCTTTTTTTTAGTTGGGTGGAAGGGAACGACGACAACGACGGCATCAATAACAACGTCTTTGCGCGATCCATTCGTGTTAAACACCCAAGAGGTGAAAAAAAGCGTGAGGCTTACATCAAAATACGGTGGAAAATTTATGTTGGCATCCAGCCGTGTTGACGGTATATTGAGATGCTTCCCACTAGCTTCCGGACTCGGAGCATCAGAAGCATGCATTGAACGATCGAGCTTTGACAAGAAATATAGTAAATATAGCAGAATACTTCCCCACGCTTGGGAGGCAACGCATCAGTCTAAAGTCCGGAGTCTAAATCGGTCCGATGAGTGATACTGAATTTCATGTGGATTGCTTTTCCTTGCGGCTTGCACACTTTTTCTTTGACCCAGCACTTCTACACAATTGGTGAACTCTTGCAGCTTCCTGAATTATGCTACTGGAGTCGTCTATGGCAAAAATTTTAGATAACACTCGTGCTCTTATCGTTGTATCTGGGTCGGCGGTGGCGATACCTGTGCACCATGAAGTATGTATAGTACTCTGTACGTTACGCGTCTACTGGACATTCTATATGAAAGACAATATCTTATCCCTTCTTACGGATTTTTTCTGTTGGCATAACCACAGAAATATATTTTTCGATGCCACACCAATGCTTTTATGCATCACGATTTGCGTCGTGACGTTTTGACGTCCAACTTAGCTAATGCTGGTGGATCAACCATACCAACAGTTGCCAGGACAGTATCCCTTCAATGTCTTCTTCCATGTATTAAGTCACATGAAGGAGGATAAGCGGTTCCCTCGTGTACTCACACAGTTCATGCACTGATGATATAAGACGAGCTGTCTTTATGGCCATCGAACCCGGTGAATTGTAGATCCGTAGAACTCCGGTACGTCCCTGAAGTGAGCGTTTTAGGTTTCTGACAGCCTTGAAAGCCTACTTGATCAGCAAAGATAAATGCCACCAAAGAAATCGAAAAAGAACGAAACACCGCCTCCTGTTGCCAATCAAGGCAAAAAGAACACGGGGCGCAAGCATATTGTGAAGAGCGGTAATGTTGGCAACAACACTAAGAATGCCAACGATGATCAACAACCGTCTGAAAAGGTTTGTAATGATCTGCCTTACCGCAGCAATTAGGATCCTTTTCCGAAATCGTTTTCCAAAGAATGCTGAATTCCTTCTGCCCCTCTGTGTATACTTTAGAAATCCATCTTTGGTGATTGGACAGGCAAAGTACCCGTTTCACTTTTACACGAGCATTGTCAAAAGCAAGGCTGGGAAAAGCCGACGTTTGATATGGCGAGACGAAAACAAGGATTTATCGGCACGGTTCGACTCGGCAAACGCAACAAAAAGACAGCACAAATCCAAACAGTGACGCTGACACCACCACAAGATCTATGCCTGCCAACAGCGATAGAGGCAAGACATCTGGCAGCCACGTTTGCATTGCATCGTATCAATTCGCATATGCCCATGTATCGCATTTTACCACCACAACATCGTGATTATTGGCAACAATTTGAACGTTTGAAAACAAAAGATAATGCATGGCAGTATGTACCTGATCCGTTCGGCGTTCAGCCTCCGGCTCCCAGTACCAAGTCGTCGTCGGCAATGGATAGACGGCCTGTCAGAGAAAGTGCCAATGCTGCTATCCCATTGTCCCAACAACAGGCTTCGCGTTTAAAAGCGGATCAACTCGAGGACGACGATGATGATAATAATAGAAATAAGCGACGAGCTGGTAACACGGCTTTGGATGAAAAGTTACGGAAATATTGGGAAAGTTTGCCGGCAGTGCATATGAGCTCTGAGAACAGAGAACTTGTCGAAGATGTTGTGAAAAAGTCAAATATAGTTTATCAACCGGTACGTCGTTGTCTTACTTTGTGTGAGAATGGTTCATTTAATTTGTGTACATATCGTATTTATGTTATACTGTGCTGTTGTTTATAAGGTTGGTACGACAATAGCTGCCGAGGAACGCAAAGAAATTGAAGAAGGCTTAGTTCGCATGGGCTTCCGTCCTTCTCACGTCGATGAAGCATTAGAGTACTGCAGTGATATGGCTATGGCATTGGACTGGTTATGTAAGTTATGTTTCCCACCCGCTACTATCTGTTTCTGTTAATTAAATAACTTATATTCAATGTTTTATCTATGGATAATAGGCCTTCATGTGCCTGAGGATGGTTTGTATATAGAATTTTCTATCCGATTAACCTCTCGGAGGGGGTTCTATTGATTGTCTCCAAATTATTCTAACCAAGTTGTTGGTGGTACGTTGTGTTACAATTGCGTTAGATCTCCCACCGACGTTCATGCATGCCAACTACAAACCTACCATGACAACGATATCACATACGACGCAATCTCTTGGTCGCGATTGGTTGATCAAGCGGATGACTGGATTTGGATACCCGGCTAATATCTGCCAAGAAGCAATGGAACAGTGTCAAAACGACGATTTGAAAGCACTTGGACTTCTCCAATGGCGACTTGCGCACGGAGATGAACCAATGCCAACAAGTACACAACAAGAAGAAGCACTTGCTGTTGACGCGGAAGAGCTTGAAACAATATGGCAAGAAGAAGCTGTGGCATTGGAATCCATATATGGCTCCAATTTTGAAAAACTCTTAACTGAAGAGGACAAACAGAAGCGACTCCAATTTCGTATAAGCCTTCATGCCAACATCACACATCGTGGCAAGACACGTCAAGTGCCAGTTATACTGGAGAGCACCTTTGCCAAGGACTCACAGTATCCGAATACATTGCCTATATTCACTGTGGTCTGCGACAAGCTGCCGTCTTATCTCAAGCTATCTCTTATCAAGGGAGTCATTGCTGAAGCAGAAAAGAACCTGGGATTACCCATGGTGTACATGTGCGCCGAGTGGCTTCAAGAACACGTGGATGACTATATTGCCAATCCACCAAAATTGCGAGACATCACAGAGGGTATTGCATCCATCGTTGCGCTCCCACAGTCTTCCTCTGCCCAAAAGAAGAAGCGACGGAAGAACGGTGCAGAAGAGCGTCGTAACAGACTGTCAAAAGAAGATCATGCCAAGATCTCTCAGCAACTCAAGGATGATCTACATACGATGCGAGCGTCGGATGCTTATGCGCCTCTGGGCAAGGTCAGAAGCAAATTGCCAGCAGAGAGTTTCCAACCCAAAGTTGTTCAAGCGGTGCTTGAGAACCAGGTCTCTATTGTTTGCGGTGAGACGGGTTGTGGTAAGACGACGCAGGTACCCCAGTTCATCTTGGACACAGAAATAGAGAACAACCGCGGATCTACATGCAATATCATCTGTACCCAGCCTCGCAAAGTGGCAGCTATTGGTGTTGCAGGTAAAGGAGAAGAGAATATTCTTTTTCTGTCTATGCGTCGTGCTTGTATGTTTATGAAAGTTCCAGATGGAAGATTGCGAAACTGACATTGAGGTAACTTAGAACGTGTTGCTGCCGAACGTTGTGAAAAGATTGGAGGCTCTGTCGGCTATGCTGTTCGTGGAGAAACCAAAGTAAGTGCCATTTACGCTTTTGTTTGTTTGTTTGTTTTCTTACGTTTATTCTTGCATGCATTGCATAAATGGTGTAACCAAAACTTTTGTGCAAAGGCCTCTTCCCAAACAAGACTTCAATTCGTCACTACAGGTGTGTTATTGCGACGCTTGCATAGTGACCCATCCTTGGGAGGTATCAGTCATGTGCTGATCGACGAAGTGCACGAGCGATCAGGTAAAATAATCACAAGCATCATTGTTTGAGAGGAAAATGAAAGAGCTCCCAAAATTAATGAATTGGTTATGTTGTTATTGTTGCTATTATATGTACTACTACGCACTCCAACAACTCTAAATCACGCATACAGTTGATAGCGACTTTTTGCTAATCATACTTCGGCAAGTACTGAAGAAGCGCAAGGATCTGAAAGTCGTTTTGATGAGTGCAACTATCAATCAGCAGGTATTTGCAGGTATGTAATATAACCTGGCAGCTTATCGCTGGAACTATGCAGCTCGTATAATGTACCTACACATGTATATTGACCCTGAAACGTTTCTTCTTCAGACTACTTTGGTGGGGCACCCGCTATAGAGATCCCTGGCTTTACGCATCCAGTAAAGGATTAGTAAGTCGTTCCAACCGCTGTTGTGATTGTTTGTTTGTTCGGCGTGTTGCACAACAGCAACTAACACTCAACCTTAATTAGCTACTTGGAGGATGTTATCAGCATGACATCGTACGTGTCAAGATTGCCGATGCCAAAGCAAGTAGACAAAGGAGAAAAGGGAAGTCAATGGGCACAGTGGCAGCTGCAGCTGCTGGATGAAGGCTACGACGAACAAACGGTGCAAACGATGGCGCGTTATCGCAATCAAGACAAGATAGATTACGATTTGATTACGCACGTAGTGAAACATATTGTGGAGAACGGAACTGTACGGATCGATCATGGTGCGCAGCCAGCTATTTTGGTCTTCATGCCTGGTAAGCTGATGCATCCACGAAGAAACTTTTATGTTGAAGACACGTATTCTTAATCTGTTACAATGTACACAGGTGCCATGGAGATCAGGCGTTGTGTTGAAGCCTTGCAGGGTGCATTGTTACCGCGATCTTCCGCTACTGAGAGATATGCGATCCTTCCACTGCATGCAAACTTGTCCCCTCAGGAGCAAACCAGCGTATTCAAAAAAGTGTCGCCAGAGGTGTGCAAGATTGTGGTTGCCACCAATGTGGCAGAAACATCCATCACAATTGATGGCGTTGTTTACGTGATTGATGCGGGGCGTGTGAAGGAAACGCAATACGATCCATCCAACAGCATGATGCGCCTTGTCGAGACGTGGGCGTCGAGAGCGTCCTGCAAACAGAGGCGCGGTCGTGCTGGCCGTACTCGGCCCGGAGAATGCTACAAGATCTTTAGCAGAGACACCGAGGCGCGCAAGATGCATGCGCAACAGGTGCCGGAACTGCTGCGCACTCCATTGGAGCAGCTGTGTCTGCAGGTCAAATCCATGGGCGAGTTTGATGTCAAGAGCTTTCTGGGCAATGCGATCGATCCGCCGTCGGTGGCTGCGCTTGAGAGTGCTATCCGTACCCTACAAGCCGTGGATGCCATCGAGACAAGTCCCCGCGGCGAGCTTACGCCACTTGGAAAGCACATGGTAAGTCCATAATGATCGCTCTCAGCCTTGTCATGATCCCTCTCACACACTTTATAGCCCCTCAAACCCACTTCCCCCCCCCAACACACATTACATGACTCCTCCCCCAAATGGCTCGATGTAAAGAGAAAGTCAAAGGGAGGAAAAGGACGAGAGAAGGAGTTGCGACGAAGGGGGAGGAGGAGGAGGGGGGGTGAGCTCATTCCGAAATAATTCTAAAAACAACATTGGCTCTGATACACTAGGCATCCATCCCTGCTGACTTGCGAATCGGCAAAATGCTGCTGATGGGGTCAATATTCAGCTGCCTGGACTCGATCTTGACGATCGCCTCGATCATGTCACTCAAGTCGCCGTTTACGGCGCCCATGGAGAGACGGGAAGAAGCAAGGCAATGTCGCGAACGGTTTGCGCTGGGCAGCAAAAGCGACTGGATCACCGACATGAACGCCTATGAGAGATGGCATCAGATTGTGAAGGGAGGAGGAAAAGGCGGGGGGATGCGTGAGGCCCGGCGGTTCTGCGAGGAGAACTTTCTGTCGTTTGCAACGCTGTCCGAGATCGGATCGCTCAGACGACAGTATGCGGATGCGCTGGCGGATATTGGTTTCTATGACAGGCGATGCGGGGATGCGTACAACCGCAACCATGGCAACGTGAACCTTGTCAAAAGCATTGTCTTTGGAGGGCTGAATCCGAACGTGGCGAAGATTCGGATGCCGGACGCCAAGTATGACAAGGTGCTCAGTGGCACGGTGGAGCGGGAAAAAGAGGCGAGGGAAATCAAGTTCTTCACCAAGGAGGATGGTAATATGCTGAAATATCTCTGGTGTAACATTGCACACGCTCACTGTGCGCCTTTCAGAAGGGGGCAATCGCTAATCACCTGTTGTTATTGTTGTTTCGTTCTCTTTCTGCTGCTGTTGATGCTGTCTTATGTATGTAGGCCGTGTGTTTCTGCATCCATCGTCGATCCTGTTTGGCTGCAACAGCTACAACAGCTCGTTTCTGACCTACTTTTCGCGCATCGAGACGAGCAAGGTGTTTATCCGCGATGGCATGGAGGTGCCCTCGTATGCAGTTCTGTTTTTTGGCGGTCGTGTGGACATTGATCATTTCGGGCGGGGCCTCAAAGTGGGCCAGGACGGATGGATAAAGTTCCGCGCGTGGGCACGCATTGGGGTCTTGGTGAATCAACTGAAGCGACTGCTGCATGCTGAGCTGGACAGCAAGATCCAAGACCCCGGCATTGATGGTAGGGCATAGTGGGCTTCGCTGTGTGTGTGTGTGTGTGTGTGTGTGTGTGTATGGAGAGAGAAGAACTGTCTGTGACCCAAAACCGGAATTAATGCTCGTTCTTGCTTTCTTTATTTTCGTGTGCAGTATCTGCAAGTAGGGTTGTGCAGACCATGATCTCACTGATAACAAATAACGGCGTCTAAATTAGGAAATTCGAGCGGACACATTTGCCAAAGTGTAAAAATAAAGCAGAAGAGACACAAAAAATGCAGTAGAGTATGATATTTTATATTAGACGAAATTTTGATTAATAAACTGTGCATACAAGACAAAAAACATGAGTGATGGAGAATGGCTAGAGGGTAGACGATGGTGCTGGTATGTGTACAAGAGGCGGTGGAAGAGTCAGATATGATGGTCATGGCAGTGGTGGTGGTGGTGGTGGTTTTGGTAATAATGGTATGAGTAGTAGTATGTATACGGCGACGGGGAGGAGGAGACGATGACAGAGGGATTCAGGCGCAAATGTCGCAGGGGGGTATAGTGTGCTGTGGCTGCTGCTGTTGCTGCTGTCCGTCCTCGTCAGACGACGGCGGCAGTGGCAGCGACGATGACGACAAGGATGATGATGATGATGATGGCTGGTCCTTTTCTTCTGCGGTTGTGTTGCTTTCCTCGTCACTGTCACTGTTTGCTGCCTGCTCATTCCGCAGCTCCTCCATCTGTCGTCGTATTTCCGATTTGAGTGTAAGGAGCTCAAACATGTCGTGGTATGTCAATTTCGCCACTTCCTGTGCTGTTCGATCTGTGAATGAAAACAAAGAATTAGTGTCTGCGGGTGGGTGGGCACTGCGTTATGGAAGGGTGGTGCAACAAACAAATATTTGTATGACCGTGAATAAGCTGTGGGGAAGAGTGGATAGAGAGAGAGAGAGAGAGATCGTTACCGTATTCTTCGTTTGCAAAGGTGCTGACCAGCTCGACCTGGCATGAGAATTGAACACGTTTGGTATGCGAAGTCATCATCGATGTGGTTACTGGTGGTGGTGGTGGTGGTGTTGGTATATGCTGCTGATGGGTTTACAAGCAAAACGAGCGAGGTGTGGAAAGAAGAAAGAAAGAAAGAAGAGCAGGAAACGACTTTGCAGGAAGAGCAAGAGAATAAAATAGACACATAGGGGGGGCCACCCCCTCCCCCTCCTTTTATACATTATCAATCGGGAACAGGAAGGAGGGGGTGGGGGTCTCAGTCAGATAAATCAGTGGGTGGGCCAGAACTAAGCCTGAGTAGTAGTCCCGCGGAAAAAGGCCATAAACACGTTGTTGCTAATTTTGTATGCTTGCCATTTTACTATTATTATTACTACCACTACCACTTTGTGTATATTCTGCCTGCTGTCGACTGTCCATACGCAGGGCCCCCCCCTCTCTCTCTCTTTCCTACTACTACTACTACTACTACTACTACTACTATTACCGACCCCTCCCCCACCCAAGCATCCTCCCAAGCGATATCCACCCCCCCAAAAAAAAATAACAGCTTCTGCACTGTTGCCAGCTTACACTTTCCCTTATGCGTCAGAATCTCCTGATGCGGGCAGAACATTGCATGCATCCATCATTAGCCAGTGCAGCCTTGTTAACACGCCCCTCTCACGCTACACAGATGAGGCCATCTTTTTTAATCCTGGTTTTTTTTTTATACTGATTTCACACCCCGCTGCCATCGCGCTTAGCGAAAAATTAGAGTGACCATGTTTACTTGTTTTTCCTGAAACTGCCCTGCATTGCCTGCCATGAATATTCTAAAATCATTGACTGCACGTCTCCAGCCCAATGCCACTGCCTCCAAATGTAAAGTCAACTTTTACAATTATAGTAAAGTACGTTTGTAGGACGCGAATCCTGTACCCTAATGCGTTTTGTTTTATTCGCCCCAATGACAGTGAGCTATAGCACGGCAGCAGCAGCAGCAGCTACCAAACCCAAACGCAACGTCATGGAACTGATCTCAGCACAACAGATCGAAAAGGCCAACCATGACGGACGACGCGAGTTGTTCTCACGCAAAAACGGAGAGGGCGTGCGACCGGGATCGGTTGTCTTGGTGGAAACGTTCAACGGCCCTGGCGAAAAGACATCGTCGACGTTTATGGGCGTATGCATTGCCATCCGCCGCAAGGGCATTGACACCTCGTTTACGCTGCGCAACATTGTCATGCGCGTTGGTGTTGAACAACGGTTCTCGCTCTACTCGCCTCTTGTCAAGAGCGTCAAGGTGCTCCAAAAGCCCACGGAACTGCGTGTCAGACGTGCCAAGTTGTTCTACCTCCGAGACCAGCCTGGCAAAGCATTCACATCGCTCCAGAGCTTGTGGAAGCAAGAGCAATTGGAAAAGCAGCAACAAAAATAGACTTTCTTTGTTCCATCCCTCGACACACGTGTACTACATACGCACTCACATACGCACTCACGCACGCTCACGCACAACATATACATCATGCAACATCTCCCTTTTGTTTTTGTTTCTTTTTTTCCTGTAAATACACTCAACAATGACAACCAACCTAAAGAAAGCTCTTTTAATCATCACTCTGCGCTGCATTCTTTTACCGTATCTCAGCTAAACAATACAATGAAAGCCGTTCCCCACCCCCCCCGCCCCCTTGGTTCCTCTTCCAAAGCAACCTAGTCAATGTACACGTATGCGCTGGCATAGCTGACACTGCTGTCCCTGACGCGCTGACATGGGTTGCTCTGTGCATATTTGGTGAATTGGATGCGCGGTTGCTTGTTTTGGAGCGCTGCAAGGGCGCACAAAAGCACGCCAATGGGATGGCGGCCGCAGATGGTGTTTTTGGTGGTACGCAGGTATTGGGAAAAGGCGGTATGGTCGAGCGACTCGATATGACGCATCCCTTCATGATCCATGTTGCTGATCGATTCATGGATCGGGGGATTAGTCACGCTGTCACTTGGCCCGAGCCGTACAAGCCCCTCGCGGTCGTTCGGTTGATAATACGTGTAAGAAAACCGGAGCCCCCTACAGGATAATATAAAGGTTCTGTTTGTGTCAGTGATCCCCTTTGCTGCTTAACGTGACACTTTCTGCTTTGAATAGCCATGGATGATGCTGCTTATTGGACTACTGTTCGTACCAGTGACAAAAGTCTGACGATACGATAAACAGCGTTTTCGGGTCGGCAAGATAGCCTGACAACAGCTCGCCAAACAGCTTTTCCTTGCTGTCGTCAATGGCCCCCACCATGATCGGAACCACCTTGATGCGATCTAGTTTGCTGCTTCTTCGTCAGTTCAGCCGAACTCTTTTGTCGCTCCTTCTCCCTCTCATTTACCTGCTGAAGATTTTAGCCGTATAAGGCAGGTGCATTTCAATGCTATGTTCGTCTTCGTCGACGTCTTTGTTCATCCATTGGAACTTTCCAGTCTCGTATAACTCTTGGATGGCTGAAAGAGATACGTCACCATATCCCATCAAGTAAACAGTCAGGATCCAATCATGGACGGGTGTTACTGAATGCTCGGATACTCACTTGCTTTATCCAAGGTCAAGTTGCCAATTGGAGTGTTGTACGTATCGCATTTAGATAGTGCACAGCCATCAAGATAAACGTGATGGGATGGTCCTAGGATGAACACACGCTCTCTTTTGGTGTGAGAGGGTGTAAGGATTGTTAAATAAAGCAACTTAACAGTTTGTAATATCACTTGTACTCTTCTTCCCTCCTTTTCTCCTTCCTCCCCTTTTCCCCCCATCTCTCCTTTAATAAGTTCTCTCTCGTTTAACCGATATAGCAACACCAACAAGCTCCTAGCGCGCATGCACTGACATAATACAAAAGGTCGACATTACATTTCTGACACGTCGATGCATTTGTACGCATATGCAGCCGTGGGCCCACTGTAGCTGTAACCAGCATGACTAGCAGTTACGGTACATAATAAAGAAATATAAGAAAAGAAGGTTAGTCTTTGTTAAACCCTTCAATTTCTTTTTAGATCTGCCCCAAGGGAAGAGAGATAATAGCGAACTATCACACACACTCGCATAAGGACTTACGGTGCAATAATGGCACGGGCTCCTTTAATAGGATAAGACTCTCCTTCCTCGGTCGAGGACGATACATTACCCAAATACTTGTCCAGCTCCGCATTCAACCGTGCATCTGACAACGCACAAAGAGTTAAAGAACCGATTGCTAATTAACAGTGCATTCTCTCTTATAGGCGGCGTTCAACTACAACAGGCTTACTGTTGGCAATTCCTCAGAGAAAGATGCTTACTCGAGTCTGTGTACCAAGAACCAGCATGGGTTGCAACGCGATTCATTGTATAAGTAGTTGACTATTGGGAAACTGCTGTGGGAGATAGTACAGGATAATACTACACGTAAGGTTTTGGTCCCGTGAATGTATGCGAGTGTGTGAGAAGAAAGGATTCGGCACCAAGGAGGGGGAGGGGCCACACACTAAAACGCATGGAAATTGTGTCACCACCCTACTTTATGGCCACGGGTGCGTGATCTAATTGGCGGTAGTAATAAATAGTACCAATAAGAAATGGTGTATGAGAGAGAGAGAGAGAGAGACGGACTATGCATTACGCTTCTTTTTTGGTTGCGCCGTCCGCCATATAAACATAGACACTCAGACTAGAAGGATGGCAGCAAGAGATCACGATGCACAGTGAGATGCAGCACGTGTTCTATAAACAGCTCCCTTTAGTAAACCGGGATCATCAAGGGTGCAGCATATACACAAACATAGTTCTCGCACACACATTCACACAGAGCTGGAGCTGAGCCAGATTGTACATCAAGCAGGTTAGCCATTTTTATATAAATACGGCTAACCGCAGCCCATCTTTTTTGCTTCCCTCTTTTCTTAACAACTTTAATAACTTTTTTTGCTCTCTTAACCTTCCCTTTCGATCTACAACTATTACAAAACCATGGCATTGCACTACATCATTGCGTTTCTGGCCGTCATGAAGGCCGTCGTACATATCACTGCTGAAGACCAGCAGCAATCCTACAATAACAACTACAACAGTAGCAACAGTTACTACTATACCAAGGATGACGAGTCTAGTGCTACATACAAATCACCATCATCCCATACTACACAAGCTCAGCAGGTTCCTGTACCGAACGACGATGAATGCTACGATGACTACTATTCTTACAACTCGGACTCATCATTAGCGTACCTTCACACTGCTTCTAGCGCACGAGTCCATTGATGACAATATCGTCCACTCATCCTCTCTATATCATCTCCCTTCTATACCATACTCAGAAGTATGAAGATTCCCAATCATCTTCTCAACTGTATATGTTTTTTCATAGCCATCTCGGCCCCATTGTAGTTTTGTTTTTCTTCTTTGTCCCCTTTGTTGTTGTTCTTCTTTTCCTTCTTTACAATTCACAAACCACGCACACATACAAGTACATATATAGCAAACTCCCAAATCCGCACATATGATATCTTTTTCTTATCCATTAAAGCGTCGAATACAACACAATACCATATATATTTCAAATGGCAACTTTTAAAAGCCAACAACGTCACGGATTAAGAAAATAATTAATGGTGCTTGGCAAGTTTGGCACTTGACGGAGGTAGTGCGCTGGCAGCGGCGCCAAGATTCATGAATCGAAAATGCCAAGGAAGAAGCGTAACTTGAGCGCATTATTACAACACCACATTCAATTACTGCTGCATGCTTGTAAAACGCTTTAAAGTTCTCCTTCTTTTTCTTACTTCATGTCTGCACTAATTCCACATGAAAATAACATGTGTTGCATACACTTTTTTCAGAAATTACTGGCGCATTTTTGGGATGAGAGCTGGCGTTACACAAGAGGAGTAAGAGGCGTAGTGGCAAGGATGAATCTGACGTAGAAGTAGAAGGGTATACTAGCGTACTATCAGAAAATAAAGTGGCACATTATTCTATCGTTTATTACTTTGAGAATGATGACAGCTACATTTATCCACGAAGACGGTCATGGCAACATGGTTGGTGATGAAGGCGAAGACGTTGCTGTCATAGAAATGGATGTCGATTATGAAACCTACCCACTCAATTCGGTCACCAATTTCAATGAGTACATGTCCTTGAAGCCACCTGAAAAACCTGTGAAGGAACCGAAAGCAGTCGAGGAACAACCAAAAGCGAAAGCCAAAAAGGGACCGAAACGACTGCAGGCACGATACACTGATGCACAAAAAGAACGGCTGTTTTACTTGGTGTATGAAGAGGGCAAGTCCGCTAGAGAGGCGGCTCTCGAGCTTAAGATTGCACCAAGGACTGCCCAAAGATGGGTGAAAATGGATCAAGACAACCCTGATCCTGATGGTGGTTTACCAACCACAGCTAGTAAAACCACACGCCCTGTTGGAAGACCATCCAAACTGGGGGAGGAGCATGCGGCATTCTTGACCAACTTGGTTGATGAAAACCCATCCCTTGCCCTTGACCAGATGATGGAGAGTCTCACAAAGCAATTTGAAGGATTAGAGGTGTCCAAAACAGCACTCTATAATTTTACGACTGAAAAGTGCAGAATCACCTTCAAAAAAGCACACTTCCACTCCGTTGAAAGGAACTCGCCAGCTAAGATCGAGGAACGATTCAACTGGGTGACACGTTGGCTAAATACTGATATGGATTTCTGCAGCAATTGTGTTTTTATCGATGAATCCGCATTCCATATCAACATGAAACGAAGCTCGGCATGGTCAACAAAGGGTACTCGAGCAACAGTAACTGTACCAAAGACGAGGGCGAAAACCACCACGATTCTTGGTGCCATTTCGCCATATGGCGTTGTGCAAATATCTGTAAGATTGCCAAAAGCGATGCCTCCTTCCAAGAAACGAAAAGCCGCTGGAAGTACCAAAACTGCTTCTGCTACCAAAAGTGGAACGGTCACCGGCCACTACTTCAACTTTGTTGCTAGTACATTGGATGTGATGGACCAGCATGAGGAGTTCAAAGGGAATTATTTAGTGATGGACAATGCACCTATTCACAAACACGACGACATCGCTAAATATATCCAAAGCCGTGGTTATGGGTGCATCTATCTTCCCTCTTATTCACCCGAGCTCAATCCCATTGAGCAATTCTGGTCAGTGGTGAAGGCCAAGTTGAAGCGTCACAGGCTTTTGGAGGAAGAGACCTTGACTTCGCGGATCAGGGATGCATGCAATGAGGTGTATTTTAGCGATCTGAAAGGCTTTTGCAAATATTCAGTTTCTAAGTTTGATGATTGTTTGCAACGCAAACCTCTCTAATAAATATGCCTATCCCGCTCAGTGAACATTGCTTCTTTGTTTAAAAGTGACGAACGATAGATAATGCGTCACTTTATCTTCTGATAATACGCCAGTACTCCCTTCTGCTTTTGCGTCAGATTCATTCTTGGTACTACGCCTCTAACTCCTCTTGTGTAACGCCAGCTCTCATCCCAAAAATGCGCTGAAAAAAGTGTAACTTGTACACTATTTAGGAATAGGTCATAAAATGCCAGCTAGCGGTCCATTCCTCCCATTCACCTTTGTTTCCCAATCCAATGCATGTGAACGATTGTCCTGCTCTAGCCCAGCATGCCCATCATCCAACTTTCTTGATCCGAGGGGATTTGAGTTTAAAACGCTCAAACATAGAACATCATCCAGTTTCAGAGAAATCATGATTTGTAAACTGCCAGCTAGCAGCCCATTCCTCCCATTCACCTTTGTTGCCCACACCAATGCATGTGAACGATTGTTCTGCTCTAGCCCAGCATGCCCATCATTCAACTTTCTTGATCTGATGGGATTTGACTGAGCTACGGTCAAACAAAGAAGTATCATAGCAACATGAGAAACATCAATTGATTAATGATTTGTACACTGCCATCTAGTAGCCCCTTCCTCCCACTCGCCATTTTTACCCAACCCAATGCATACGAACGATTGTCCTGCTCCAGCCCAATAGTCCCATCCTTCAGCTTTCTTGATTCGAGAGGATTTGAGTGAACAACGCTCAAACACAGAAGTGTCATCCAAGCAACAGAAAAGTCTACTTAATTTCCAGGTCTTCCGCTCCCAACTTATTTTGCCTCTTCTTCCCATTCTCAACTGTTGCCCCACTCAAGTACAACTACCACCTGCGAACGATTGTCCTGCTTCAACCCACCATGTCAAGCATACGATTACCTTGATCCGATTGTCTTTGACTGAATGGCATGTCCATGGCGTGTACACAGCCTTCTTATCACTCTACTTCAACACGTGTCTTTCTTGACACTTCGCCTTCTCTTGTACACACTCCCCTGCCACAACCAATCGTAACAGCGTTCGATCCTGTAGCTTCCATTAGCAAGGCCTTTACTCCATTGTCTCGAACAGCGTTCTCTCTGCTTGCAGCAACTTGCCTTACAGCCGCTTTTTACGTGAACAGCAGATAGCCATCGTATAGAAGCAGCATTATTTACGTGAAGCAACTTGCTTTGGTACAAAAGGATTCCTATGGATGATTCCATATCAGTTATGAATACGCCATAATACAAACAATCTTCACCTGCTCGAGCCGTGATGGAAAATGATCCAGCAAGGAAGGGCCAATAGCCGAATGGGAAAGGAAGCAGCAATCGCATGGCACTTTCAATCAACATTTTGAGCTTGCAATGGTTATGATGGGTGGATGGATACAATCAAGTTGGAATGTCTTTTCAGTTACTTGATACATCGTCAGCCGGAAATGAATGGCGAGTTCATGGCGTGTACACAGCCTTCCTGTCACTCTACTACAACACACGCCTTTCTCGATACTACACACAATGTCTTGCATTCTCGTCTACCATAACCAAACATAACAGCGTTCATTGCAACAGTTGCTATCAGCAAGTTCTTCATTGTCACAAACAGCGTTCACAGCCTTGTCATTCTACTACAGCTCAGGTCTTGCACACTTCTCTTCCTCCACAACCAAATGCAACAGCAGTTGCATTAGCAAGGCTTTGACCCCATTGTCTCAAGTTACATGCAACAACATACTTTGGTGCACATGGATTCCAATGGATGGTGTGCCATATCAGCTATCATGTACACCGCAATACAAGCAATCTCCACCTGGTTGAGCTGCAATAGAAAGTGACCAAGAAAGAGATGGATCAACAGCCGGATGGGAAAAAGAAAGTACATCAGCAAGCGATCACGTGGCTCTTTTCAACCAACATATTGGATTTGCAATGTTATGGATGTATGGATGCAATCAAGTGCAGCGATGAGGAAGAAGTACTTGAATGTCGCTTTGCCTATTTGTCGCGTTGTCAACAGGGAAGATGGATCATATCACGTGGATGCGGCTGAGGATGATGATGGATTGGATGGAATCGAGTAAAAGGTTTATGATATTCTATGCACAGAGACCCACATTAGCGTCACTACAATTACTAGAGATGATCATTACATTATAAAATAAACCTTCTTTATCCCTAGCAGACATCATAACATTCATGCCATTGCTAGTAAATCCTTGTATACATCAAACATATCTTTAGCTTTTTGTAAATCGACATGGCGTGCATGGCAGTCAAGTCTAACAATCTTTGCTTAATAGCCGGGCAATTGGAACTCCTCGTTCGTGATATCATTCAAATAGGCGTAGTATTGATCCTTCAGGTCTCGTCTACTGTTGTAATGCGACCTTTTACTGCTGTAATGCTCAACTGCCCTAAGAGCTGAGCATCAACTCATACAAGCGACAACGTATACGATGTAATGAACCAATTGCAAAGGAGCTTCAGGGGGAAGAAAGGGTTGTTTATTCGTACTCTCTAACGGCACTAATGCATGAGTGTTTGAGAAGTACTAACAGCCAGCCGACACTTCATAACACCGCTCGGCTTGTTACACCAATTCTAGCTATTCACAATGAGTGAAGACCTCTTTTCATGTAGCATCACGCTTACAGCGAGTATAATGAAAACAGAAATACAATCGTTTCTCAAATTTCTACAATCAATCGTGGAATCCTTATGAGAGCAAAACTGCTCGGCTTGGTCCAAAGCACCTTGTGTGCGAGTTTCACCATCGAGGTGGGCAACCCCAAATTTCGCCATGTCGTCACCAGCCAAACACACATCGGGTTGACCTCTTTAATTTGTGTTTGACAAAATATTTTTGGCTTGTGCAGGCATATTTGTAACTACATCCATAACGGAACTCGTGGTATCTTGAGATGATCCAGTCATTTGGTCTCAGTGATGGAGTGTTTTTATCTAGGATACATGCCTAGAGGTCTACCAGAGTGCTTGTGAGAGTGAGGGTTAACTCCGATCTTGTATCCTGGTGACGTGGTTTTGGCATGGTGCGAAGCAGCAGCAAAGCCAGCCTTGGAATAGACCTCTGCTACTTTTATTTTACCCCACATCGGTTTCAAGGTTGGCTCTCCTCGGTGTCAGCAGTAGTCCTTTAAGGACGCCCTAGTGAAAGCAGTGGGATCGTAGATTGTCATGTGTGCTGGATTTATCCCCATGCATGGACCATTGCAAGTAGCATATGCCTTCATCATGTTATGCCTGTCCGGCTTCAAGGCAAGTATCTTTATTACTTCCATTTTATACATATCATATCAACTAACTTCTATTCCTAGTATCGGATGCATGAGATCTGTTGTCTGATATTATCAGCGAAAGCATGGCAAAGGCAAAGGAATCGGTTGGCTCTCCCAAGTGTCAACAGTAGTTCTTTGAGGACGCCCTAAGTGAAAGCAGTGGGATCGTAGATTGTCATGTGTGCTGGATTTATCCCCATGCATGGACCATTGCAAGTAGCATATGCCTTCATCATGTTATGCCTGTCCGGCTTCAAGGCAAGTATCTTTATTACTTTCATTTTATACATATCATATCAACTAACTTCTATTCCTGATATCGGGCGCATGAGATCTGCTGTCTGATATTATCGGCAAAAGCATGGCAAAGGCAAAGGAATCGGTTGGCTCTCCCAAGTGTCAACAGTAGTTCTTTGAGGACGCCCTAAGTGAAAGCAGTGGGATCGTAGATTGTCATGTGTGCTGGATTTATCCCCATGCATGGACCATTGCAAGTAGCGTATGCCTTTACCATGTTATGCATTTCCAGCTTCCGTGTGGTTTCTTTTCCCTATTGCATCATGCACGATTTTTATCCCTTGCGATTACAACATGTATAGCCGAGAATGAGTACTGTCGTATCCTTGGAGTACTTGCCTGCACGATTTCCTAGGAAACACCCAATCACAAGAACCATCTTCCCGTATCTTTCATACATATAGAAAACCTATCGCTGCACCATTTATACATATGAATGCTACATAATGTCTTACGCAATATACAAAGCACCACAGGCTTCAAACCAATCGTGCGCTTAATAACATGTAATTGCCAATGTTGACATCCATACTTATATGAAATGAGCTGTTGATGTCCTCTATTATACATCCTATTAATGGAATCTGGGTCCAGGCTGTTGGGATATCCATATGCACAAGGACAAAACACCTACTACCGTCTTCTGGTATACCTAATATTTGCAACGAAGGCTCAGCTTCGTGGCTTGAACATCGATCTCAGAAGAGATTCATCTTTTGCTCCTTTGTGTATTATCTTATGAGCAAAGTGGACAAAGTCTGGTATTTTATTCAATATTTGACATGATTATGTCGCTTGCGATCAATGGTCTTTTCAATGACATGATCAAGGTTTTCAGCAGTGGGACTAACTCTGTTGCGTTTACTAATGATTATCATCGCGGATGCATCGGATTGCTTGCAATGATGGTAAAAGTGATGGGTGACATTCTTGATTTGGCTAAGGCTCGCAAGATATGCAGGAATGTCCTTGATACATAATGGCATTCTGATTGTGACAAGCTCTTCCATCAGATACAGACCATCGGCCTTGAGTTCCATAAGATAGTATGTCAAATTTGGACCTAGAGCATTGAGTTAAGTATGGATATTCTTTTAAAAGAGAAGAATTCCCAAGGATTTACCAACTACATGTATGCCAAGGCTAGCTTGTAACTTGTGTTCATCAATTGTATCTTTGCAGAAGTGTCCAAGACGCAACAAGTCCATATTTGTTTGATAATGGTTGTCGTATTCAGCAGCCGATTTCACTTCTCCATATCCAATGTTGATTTCGAAATTATTGTCCATCAATGTTGAAATGATACAGTCGGGCCGTCGATTTGCCAAGGAAAAGGATCGCTTATTTGCAGGGACAGTGGTTGGCCTAAATCAGAAGGTGCTCGTTAAATAAAAAGATACCATATACGTTGTAATAACTTACCAAAGTATTTGGGTGTTCGTCTCATCATCATCGAATAAAGGTTGCAAGGCTGGTGCCAAATATCGGGTGCAATAGTTATTTTCTGATGTGTCGTTCATGATGCGATCTGAGGGCAAGGATAGACATCTAATAATATGTCATAAGCACACAATTCATCCATACTACAAGCAAGACTTACAATTGATGGATGGACATGATAATCTTTTTATCCAGGTCGTCAATATCCAGATCGTCAACTGCACTTAACAAACTCGTGATCTTGGCACACGTATCCAGCCTGCTTCGCCTTCCATAATAAAAATCCTACATACAAAGACACGTAAGCCCAAAATGATGATATAGTGAAGGAATAAAGAATGGCGTGTTTCTCTTATTTGATAGCTTACCCAAACAATTTCCATCAATTTGACCATCACATCGTTGGGGAACTTGACTGTTGTATCAAATGGTCGAAGCAATTTTTTCACAAGGTCATTGTTGAAGAACTTTCTTGATTCAGGGTGCATACGACCTTTGTTCACCAATAAAACCGATGCAAGAGATCTATAAAAACGTTAGCGACTGATTGCGAAAATTAAATACAACATACTAACAATAGATGAGGAATGTCACGTTCCATCGTCAGTGTGGTGGCCTTTATACGATCCAAGACGAACAATTGATACTCATAAAATTTCCAAGATACGTCGATGGCGTCGATGATCAACCGGTCAGATGCAATGGGTGCACGAACATTCTGTGAAATAGAACTCAAAGGAAATTCTTCTGTATCGCTGGATGGCGGTGATATGTCGTCGGCTTCGGAGTCACTGCTGGTACAAATAAACACACGTTGAATGAAAAGAGAAAGTGGATGTGCCGTTTTTTGTTTCTATACCTTGTAGTTTCAACATTTGATGTTGAAGCACGATTGCATTCGTCTTCTTCATCCAAATCGCCATCAGCCGAGCGCTTTGCAGGAACTAAAAAGTATGTTCAATCATTATCTGATGTTCGTGGAGAGTAGAGATCAAGAAGCATACTTGTAGAACTAGTTGCATGAATTACTCGTTGACCTTCCGCCGCCGCTGGCTCTGCAGATACCACCAACAAGTCGAGCGCTTGTTCTTTGAAGGTATGTGCCAAGTTCCTCTGCAAATACATAAAGTTATCAGCAACAAGCGTCAAATGAAATATCTATTAGCACATACCCTCCTGTTTACTTCAACCATGATTGTGTCCCATCGCAAACGATCATATGCAACTTTTTTGCTGCTGCGGAACCACATTGGATGAGTATCAATCTAATGTGAGCAACTGCTCTCTCACCTCTGAATATCTCTGTTGTCGTCTTCAAGTAGTTCCTTGTACCGATTGAGCCAGATCCCGTGAAGACGTGCTGCGCTATTTGCCGCTAAACCGACCGACCATAGTGCAATGTCATTTTGGTGTTCTCTGATAAAGCTTGGGAATCTTGGACACCTGTGCGTTTGTAGAAAGTCTTTCAGCTCTAAGCAACGCATTAGTTGTTGAACGTATACTTTGATTGTGACGATTCCAGTATTACCGTCTTCTCCGGGTATGCTGACATTGTAGACGACAAAGAGCAGAAGCTCCCCAGCTACAGGATTATGCATACATTTTCTGCTACTGGGCTGACATTGAAAGTTGGCATATGGGAGTACAGCTATTGGTGGATGGGAAGAGTTGCTTCAGTAAATGGTGCAACAGGTATTCGTAAATGGACAGCAACATGTGCCAAATATCAGTCATTCCCAAAATACGAGACAACAAGATGTATCATTCAACCGCTGCTGGTGCCGTAGCAATCCTTTTGCCATTTAGTTACTATCTATTCCCCACATTTTCCTTTCTTTGTCACCTCCATCATTACAACGATATCTATTCCATCTTCGTGTGTCACAATCCATAAACCAGCGTCATAAAATGCGCAATGTGCCAAGCATTGCAAGTTGGCTTTTCATATTTCTACCTTGGAGCAGCCCAATATCTTAAAAACAATATGCGCAAAAGGCTTTATATTCAAATTGATAGGGTATGGGCGAAACATATATAATTGTACCGTTCTATTTTTGGTTTCTGCTATCATAATCATCCTTCATCCTCCATGATTGCAAAATAGCTGCTCCATGCATTGAATCGCGTATTTTGATACCACCCATGGCTGTACAACACCTTTCGTCATAGACATAAGTTCTTGACTCGATTCCATCCAATCCATCATCATCTTCAGCCGCATCCACGTGATATGATCCATCTTCCCTGTTGACAACGCGACAAATAGGCAAAGCGACATTCAAGTACTTCTTCCTCATCGCTGCACTTGATTGCATTCATACATCCATAACATTGCAAATCCAATATGTTGGTTGAAAAGAGCCACGTGATCGCTTGCTGATGTACTTTCTTTTTCCCATCCGGCTGTTGATCCATCTCTTTCTTGGTCACTTTCTATTGCAGCTCAACCAGGTGGAGATTGCTTGTATTGCGGTGTACATGATAGCTGATATGGCACACCATCCATTGGAATCCATGTGCACCAAAGTATGTTGTTGCATGTAACTTGAGACAATGGGGTCAAAGCCTTGCTAATGCAACTGCTGTTGCATTTGGTTGTGGAGGAAGAGAAGTGTGCAAGACCTGAGCTGTAGTAGAATGACAAGGCTGTGAACGCTGTTTGTGACAATGAAGAACTTGCTGATAGCAACTGTTGCAATGAACGCTGTTATGTTTGGTTATGGTAGACGAGAATGCAAGACATTGTGTGTAGTATCGAGAAAGGCGTGTGTTGTAGTAGAGTGACAGGAAGGCTGTGTACACGCCATGAACTCGCCATTCATTTCCGGCTGACGATGTATCAAGTAACTGAAAAGACATTCCAACTTGATTGTATCCATCCACCCATCATAACCATTGCAAGCTCAAAATGTTGATTGAAAGTGCCATGCGATTGCTGCTTCCTTTCCCATTCGGCTATTGGCCCTTCCTTGCTGGATCATTTTCCATCACGGCTCGAGCAGGTGAAGATTGTTTGTATTATGGCGTATTCATAACTGATATGGAATCATCCATAGGAATTCTTTTGTACCAAAGCAAGTTGCTTCACGTAAATAATGCTGCTTCTATACGATGGCTATCTGCTGTTCACGTAAAAAGCGGCTGTAAGGCAAGTTGCTGCAAGCAGAGAGAACGCTGTTCGAGACAATGGAGTAAAGGCCTTGCTAATGGAAGCTACAGGATCGAACGCTGTTACGATTGGTTGTGGCAGGGGAGTGTGTACAAGAGAAGGCGAAGTGTCAAGAAAGACACGTGTTGAAGTAGAGTGATAAGAAGGCTGTGTACACGCCATGGACATGCCATTCAGTCAAAGACAATCGGATCAAGGTAATCGTATGCTTGACATGGTGGGTTGAAGCAGGACAATCGTTCGCAGGTGGTAGTTGTACTTGAGTGGGGCAACAGTTGAGAATGGGAAGAAGAGGCAAAATAAGTTGGGAGCGGAAGACCTGGAAATTAAGTAGACTTTTCTGTTGCTTGGATGACACTTCTGTGTTTGAGCGTTGTTCACTCAAATCCTCTCGAATCAAGAAAGCTGAAGGATGGGACTATTGGGCTGGAGCAGGACAATCGTTCGTATGCATTGGGTTGGGTAAAAATGGCGAGTGGGAGGAAGGGGCTACTAGATGGCAGTGTACAAATCATTAATCAATTGATGTTTCTCATGTTGCTATGATACTTCTTTGTTTGACCGTAGCTCAGTCAAATCCCATCAGATCAAGAAAGTTGAATGATGGGCATGCTGGGCTAGAGCAGAACAATCGTTCACATGCATTGGTGTGGGCAACAAAGGTGAATGGGAGGAATGGGCTGCTAGCTGGCAGTTTACAAATCATTTTGCAAAATGATTTCTCTGAAACTGGATGATGTTCTATGTTTGAGCGTTTTAAACTCAAATCCCCTCGGATCAAGAAAGTTGGATGATGGGCATGCTGGGCTAGAGCAGGACAATCGTTCACATGCATTGGATTGGGAAACAAAGGTGAATGGGAGGAATGGACTGCTAGCTGGCATTTTATGACCTATTCCTAAATAGTGTACAAGTTACACTTTTTTCAGCGCATTTTTGGGATGAGAGCTGGCGTTACACAAGAGGAGTTAGAGGCGTAGTACCAAGAATGAATCTGACGCAAAAGCAGAAGGGAGTACTGGCGTATTATCAGAAGATAAAGTGACGCATTATCTATCGTTCGTCACTTTTAAACAAAGAAGCAATGTTCACTGAGTAGGATAGTCATATTTATTAGAGAGGTTTGCGTTGCAAACAATCATCAAACTTAGAAACTGAATATTTGCAAAAGCCTTTCAGATCGCTAAAATACACCTCATTGCATGCATCCCTGATCCGCGAAGTCAAGGTCTCTTCCTCCAAAAGCCTGTGACGCTTCAACTTGGCCTTCACCACTGACCAGAATTGCTCAATGGGATTGAGCTCGGGTGAATAAGAGGGAAGATAGATGCACCCATAACCACGGCTTTGGATATATTTAGCATGTCGTCGTGTTTGTGAATAGGTGCATTGTCCATCACTAAATAATTCCCTTTGAACTCCTCATGCTGGTCCATCACATCCAATGTACTAGCAACAAAGTTGAAGTAGTGGCCGGTGACTGTTCCACTTTTGGTAGCAGAAGCAGTTTTGGTACTTCCAGCGGCTTTTCGTTTCTTGGAAGGAGGCATCGCTTTTGGCAATCTTACAGATATTTGCACAACGCCATATGGCGAAATGGCACCAAGAATCGTGGTGGTTTTCGCCCTCGTCTTTGGTACAGTTACTGTTGCTCGAGTACCCTTTGTTGACTATGCCGAGCTTCGTTTCATGTTGATATGGAATGCGGATTCATCGATAAAAACACAATTGCTGCAGAAATCCATATCAGTATTTAGCCAACGTGTCACCCAGTTGAATCGTTCCTCGATCTTAGCTGGCGAGTTCCTTTCAACGGAGTGGAAGTGTGCTTTTTTGAAGGTGATTCTGCACTTTTCAGTCGTAAAATTATAGAGTGCTGTTTTGGACACCTCTAATCCTTCAAATTGCTTTGTGAGACTCTCCATCATCTGGTCAAGGGCAAGGGATGGGTTTTCATCAACCAAGTTGGTTAAGAATGCCGCATGCTCCTCCCCCAGTTTGGATGGTCTTCCAACAGGGCGTGTGGTTTTACTAGCTGTGGTTGGTAAACCACCATCAGGATCAGGGTTGTCTTGATCCATTTTCACCCATCTTTAGGCAGTCCTTGGTGCAATCTTAAGCTCGAGAGCCGCCTCTCTAGCGGACTTGCCCTCTTCATACACCAAGTAAAACAGCCGTTCTTTTTGTGCATCAGTGTATCGTGCCTGCAGTCGTTTCGGTCCCTTTTTGGCTTTCGCTTTTGGTTGTTCCTCGACTGCTTTCGGTTCCTTCACAGGTTTTTCAGGTGGCTTCAAGGACATGTACTCATTGAAATTGGTGACCGAATTGAGTAGGTAGGTTTCATAATCGACATCCATTTCTATGACAGCAACGTCTTCGCCTTCATCACCAACCATGTTGCCATGACCGTCTTCGTGGATAAATGTAGCTGTCATCATTCTCAAAGTAATAAACGATAGAATAATGTACCACTTTATTTTCTGATAGTACGCTAGTATACCCTTCTACTTCTACGTCAGATTCATCCTTGCCACTACGCCTCTTACTCCTCTTGTGTAACGCCAGCTCTCATCCCAAAAATGCGCCAGTAATTTCTGAAAAAAGTGTATTTAATACTTAAAATGATCATTTCCTTACTAAAATTAAATAATATGTAGCTCTGACGTCGAGGAACTCCAACCCTGGGAAGCAGCAATGCGTCAGGACCCCTTCTACCACAATTTTTGGTCCACAAGTAACCAACTAGCTAAAGGTAACCCTTCTTCATCCCATTATTTCTCAGCCTATTAATATTCCTTCATCAAAGTATAGTCTACAAAAAGTTCCATACTTTGGCTACCCCTAAACATGGTGCTCCTTTCACTTCGGTCATCCTCGAGCTTAATACTACTACAATTGATACTGCATCAGCTTGTTGTATTCATACAGACCAAGATATAGAAGGCGTCAACTTTTTTAGTTACATCCGTAACTACAACGAACAGCAACCAGAGCAAATCATCAACCACGCAATCAGTGGAACACCCTTCGAAGCCTTAAACCAAAAATTGATCAAGTCCGTCCGTGCTATCTTGTGTGCTTACCTCCACTACAAGAATGGCAGTAATCTAAATCAACTTGGCTACAAGAGAGAACTAAATGAATTGGCTAAAGGTACTTCTCAAATACAAACTTATACAAATTATTTCTAATTCCTCTTTTTCTAGTTGGATTGCCAAGATCTGCCAAGCCTAGCCAAACAATAACAGTCGGTTATCGTATGCTGGCTTTCTACAAGCAAGCTAGCGCCTAGCCAATCCTCTTTTCCGACAAGTTTAACTGGCCTTTCTTCCTCTCCGTACGTAACCTTTTTCTTTCTCACCCTGCTTTTT